TCCAGATCAACGCCCAGAAGTAAGTTGTTCATTCGGCAGTTCTTGACCTGTCATGCTGATTGTGTTTTGCTGTAGTTGTATCCACTGCAAGACCTGCGATATCAAGGTGCCGACGCAGGATATTAACTGGCAGACTCCCCAGGGAGGCGAGGGGCCCAAGTATATTATGACCTAGGGCGCTCTGTACGTGTATCTATAAAAGCAATCGAATTGTGTAGAACAAAAGATCCCCACGGGGCTCGGGACGAACCGTGGAATGCAGTGGACCCGAAGTATACCCTCAGATCAGACAAGTCCTTGCATACCTTTTTGGCACCGTCAAATGTTCCTCGTCTATAGTCTTGACCATTATTTCCTTCATGTTGCACAAAGTACTCTGACTGACACGGACCACGTGGATCTCCAAAGTGAGGCGACCAGTCACCTTCCACTCGCGCCGACCGCCAGAAACCTATCTTCTTGCTTCCCCTCCTCTTTCTCTCTCTCTGCTTCTTTCCTTCTTCCACTCCCCGACCTCCACTACTACTCCCAATCGGACACCCTCTCCCCTCCCGTTCTGCCGCGCTCCAGGTCTCCGTCTCAGCCATCCTTCTCCGCCGATCGGCCTGCGCTCCACCATAGGCGCCAGGCAGGATCTGTTGTGGCCATCTTTTTTCTTTACTTCCTTTCCTTCCCCCAGGACTTTCCTTGAGGATCAGCCATGACGGAGGTATCGTCGACCCGCCTGTATCTGGGGAACCTTCCTCGTAACGGTATGCTGGCATCCACATCCACCCCCGTGCATCGTTTCCTTCCAGAGAGCCAGGATCTGCTCGTGACAAGCTCGGCAAATGCAAATCAAAGCCCCCAAGGACTGCCTCCGTCTGGACGTCTTGATAGCCCACCGTGCATGGATTGTATGACAAGCTAACGTGACTGGTGATTGACTTGATTTACAGTGACCAAGCCGGACATCGAAGAGCACTTCAGCAGCCATGGCAGCGGCAAAATCACCGAGATCAAGCTGATGAACGGCTTCGGCTTCATCGAATATGAAGATGCAATGGATGCTCGGGATGTGGTTCCTGGTAGGTTTTGTCTGCTGTTGCAGGTGTAGTGGTTGTCCGTCTGCTAACTTTCTCTCCTCTAGCGTTCCGTATGTCCCAACCAAACCAAACCCCCGATCTAGACGCGCGGCCAACTTAACTATACATACAGATGGCAGTGACTTCAAAGGCGAGCGGCTCACGGTGCAGTTTGCCCGTGGCCCTCGACGTAAGGAGGTCTTTCCCAGCCCTATGGATCGCCCCAGTGCTCCTCGACCCCGTCGCACAACGTTCCGGATGCAAATTTCCGGTCTCCCGGAAACAAGTTGGCAGGTTAGCAGCCCACACTCATTCTGTCCTGGATCCTTTGGCCATCTCTCTCTCTCCTTGAAGCACCATGTCCTTGAGTCGGGAAGCCGAAGCCACGCATGTGAAAGATGATGCCCCGGATGCTCATCACAACCCTCAGCTTTCCTTGCTCAAGGTCTTTCTGTACTTGGCGGGCCTGGTGGGCTTTAGTGCAGACCTGACACCCCCAAACATCCACCAACCATCCTTTGGAGACGAAGCCCCCGTTGCCGGACTTGCTGGTCTGCCCCTGCCTGGACATGGACTCACTGCCGTCATGTAGGACCTCAAAGATTTCGCTCGCCAGTCTGGACTGGATGTGGTTTACTCCGAGACTGGCCGTGAACAAGGCAAAGGGTAGGTGATCTCTTCTTCCAGCTGCAAACAAACCCCCTCACACCAGTGGCAGGTTTGTTGAATTCGAGACGGCCAACGACCTGAAGACCGCCGTGGAGAAACTCGACCAGCAAGACTTCAAAGGCTCACGCGTGACCTGCGTTGCGGATGTAAGACCATTCTCCCACCCAATTCTGGAGCCCAGCATCTCATCTCACCTTCTCGTTCCAGATCCAGCCTTATGAAGAACGTGGTGGCTACCGCGACCCATACCGCTCCCGCTCTCCTCGGCGCCCCTATGCTCTCATGGATGAATACGACCGAAGGATCCCCCCTCGTGGCTACAGTCCCCGTGCCCACTACCGTGAACGCTCCCCGATGGCCATGCGCCGAGAGTACTATGACCGGGATGGCTATGGCCGCCGCTCTCCCCCCCGCCCCCGGATGGAGGACTACCCCCCGCCTCCGCCACCACCGCGCCGTCCGTACGACGACCCGTACGATGCGCGCCGGCCCCCTCCTCCGCCTCACTATGAAGATCCCTACATGGCTGCGCGGCCCTATCCCCCCCGTCCGCGCTCTCCTCCGCGAAGCGAATACGTGGCCTACGATCGCCGCGGCTACTGGTAAACAGACGACGATGCTATGCTAACAGCTGGACTGGACTTCGTTTTCTCAGTTGTGTTTATTTTAAGCCCCCCAAAATACCCGATGCGCCTTGTGTTTTCGTGTGCCCTTTTCCCTTTCCTTGCCCTCCATCTACCCAAGGATTGAATCAGTGCATTTATTTTACGGATGGTGCGAGCTTTGCAACCTTTGCTTGCTTGTGTTGTTTCTAACGGGATCCTTCCTTGCTCTTCTCTCAGCCGGATCGGATCGTAGGGGCATATGTATGGATGTTATGAGTGAACTATGTATTCAGTTGACGTTCTCCAGTCGGAATGTAGAAACGTTAAAAGTAGCCGTCATGAGCAGCTCCACCCGGCCGGCCCCGCCAAACCCAGCTCTTTTTTTTCCGACCTCAAGCTTTGGAATACTTACCATCCACCTGCACAGCTTCGTCCACAATTCCTCTCGGAGAGGAACCCTAGGAATTGCACACGTCAACGGCACCGCTTGCTTCCGACAGGATTCATTCCAGTCAATTCCACCACCCACAAACCTCCCCTCCCAACACCTCGAATACAATCATTATGTCCGTCCACATTCCCCCCCGCCCACCAGTCCTAGACAGCGTCCGCCTCCACGAAATCTCCCTCCCCCTCCCCTCAGCCCCAGACCCCTGGCACCGCGATGGCAAGCCACAACCCTGCACCGCAACCCTAAAGCTCTCCTACTCCTCCGCCATCGCCGCCGCCTCCTCAGACGACGTTTCCCTATCCCTAGACTACGGGAAGCTGTATCGACGATTGGACACCGATGTGCGCAACATGGGCAGCAGCCACGGCGGCGCTTCGACAGACATGGTCAGTATTGAGGGCACGCAGCGTCCGGAAATGCGTTCCACTGCCGTCGGGCAGGATCCCCGAGTCACGGCGGGGATTGTGGCGAATTGCGGACTGGGGCTGTTGGACGAGACTGCTGCTGCTGTGAGACGGATGGCGCATGTTCATACTAGTCCGCGGGGGAGTTTCTCGGGTGCTTTTGCGGGTGCTGCGCAAGTATCACCGGCTGCTGCTGCGCCGCGGTCATATCCCATTTCTGGAGACTACGGCCAATGCGAGGTGTCGCTGCACCTCCCGAAAGCCATCCTCCGCGCCGAGGAGGGGCTCAAGTATCGCAGCCTGACGGTGTGGGGGTATAAGCAAGGCCTCGCGAGCGAGGAAGGTCGCTGCCCCGTCGTGCTGGAGGAGGAGTTCCGCATTGAAGGCATCCGGTGCCATTGTATCCTGGGAGTCAACTCGCACGAGCGCGTCGAGAAGCAGACTGTTATTTTGTCGCTGGAGTTCTCGGGGCCCGGGCAGCTGGCTTGGGGGTCCACTGTTGTGGACTCGTATCAGGCGATGACGAGGGCTGTTGCTGAGGTTTGTTTTGACTTGTTTCTTTTCGTTTTGTTGAAGATTTATGGATGATAGCTGACTGACTTGTTCCTACGTAGAACGTCGAGGAGACCTCATTTCAGACCGTCGAGGCGCTGGCGACGTTCGTGGCGCGCATTGTGACGGTGGAGTTTGGTAATGAGAGAGTTACGGTGAGGGTGGAAAAGCCTAGTGCGTTGGCGTTTGTGCAGCGGTCTGGCGTGGAGATTACGAGGACGATGGATTTTTTCCGATCTTGATCTTCTTCACCATATTCAATAAATATCTGAGTCCAAAAAACAAAGTCTCAATCATTCCATTGCTATGATGTCATCTAACTTATATACTGCAGCACACCTTTGTCCAGTAATTTTCTCTAGCAGCCCTGGTGTCAGTACTTTGGTGGCCAGGTTAACTCCAGGGTTACTAACACTATAAAGCCGAAGTTCCTGTTGAACATGACTGTCAGTGCTGATGCTGCCGAACAGGAAAACCACGAGCTGAGCCTCTAGCTTCCTCCCTCCTTCTTTCCTTTATTCGCTGGATGCTTATTCTTTCTATAATCTAGATATAATAATGCCTCTGTAACAACTAACTAGTTAAAGCGTAGGTATTAATAATTCCACTGCTACAGTCGTATAGATCATCGGCACGTGAATGCCGTAAACGGACTAGCGCATTTCCCCCCAGATCTTCTTCAGCCGTTCTTCTGTTCCTGCGTCTTTTTTTCCTTTGTTGCTCCCATTCTTCATTCACCGTGCTCTATTCCAAATCTACCCACTTCGAACGATTATCTCCTCTCCTCGCTTCTTCATGTGCCTGTCTGCGCCGCCCTCATCGCTCGCCTTTTCCGTTGCTGGTTCCCTGGCCTCCGCTGTTACAACCACCGCTACCACTTTCTCTACCCGTGCTACGTCCGAGATCCCGAACGTGCCTATCATCGCTCCTCTCCTCTCTCCTCCACCAGTGTTCGACCCCACGGTCAGCGAGGTGAAGTGTGTAGGGGTCCCACGTCCGTCCTGAAGAAGGGCGGACGGTAAAACTACTTGAGGGATTCGCGCGAGTTTGTCAGGAAGAGACCGTGCTGTGAATCTCTCATTTTGAAGTAGGTCCTGAAATTTTTGGAATTTGGGCTACTGTTGGTGGGGGAGATGAGCCCTAAAAAGCTTCGACTGCCCTCCGTCAGCTCCAGTCTACAGAGCCATGCTAACGTACTAGTCTTTGTACGAATAGCTACTGTCAGATAATTGTCTTGTCACCGATATAGAGCATCATGCCTTCTTCGGATACCCACGAGGACCTGTCCGTTGCGGACGTGTTCAGCCCGCAAGCCGATAGCATCCAGCCTTCCATCGACCTTCCAGCCAATCACCACGTTCCCGATGTGCACGGGATGAGCGATCGCGGTGTCTCGCCTCGAAAGATGACCAACGAGCTGCTGGCTAAGCCGCAGCGCCGCAAGAAAAAGAAGAAGCAGGCTGACCTAGCTCGCTCGACCGTACGGGGGTTTACTCCCATGGCATCCGGGGACGAGGATTCGGACTTTTCAGCCACCAGCTCCCGCGCCGCCGATTCGCGGCCTACCACCGCTCTTGGCCAGGCATCTGCGGGCCATGGGGTGAGCGCATTGAAGCTTCAACTCGATTCTCTCAGTCTTTCTGGAAACAACCGTCCCAACGGAGTCGGCTCTAAAACTCCCAGCAACGCGAGTGTCTATTCCGACAGCGACCAGACCGAGGTTCTGACCAGTTACGAAGTTCCTCTGGACCATGACTTTGTCAGTGCCGATGCTGCCGCCCAGGAAAAGTCCGAGCCTGCCGGTGCTGTCGATATGCGCAGCCAGCTGTGCCGGAAGATGACGGCCCATGACTTTGAGCCGCTCCTCTGTCTGGGCAAAGGCTCTTTCGGAACGGTTCTGCTCGTTCGCCATGCCGTCACGGGAAAGCTGTACGCCCAGAAGCAGTTCCGCAAGGCATCTCTCACTGTGCACAAGAAACTCGTGGAGCAGACCAAGACGGAGCGCATGATTCTGGAGAGTGTCAACCGCCACCCGTTCGTGGTCAAGCTGTTCTATGCCTTCCAGGACCACGAGAAGCTCTATCTGATCCTGGAATACGCGCAGGGCGGGGAGTTGTTCACCCATCTTGCCATGGAGCGTATGTTCGATGAAGATGCGGCGGCCTTCTACATGGCGGAGATGGTTCTCGCTCTCGAACACCTGCACCAGAACGTCGGCGTGCTGTACCGCGACCTCAAGCCCGAAAACTGCCTCTTGGATCGACAGGGCCATCTGCTCCTCACAGACTTTGGCCTCAGCAAGATCGCCGTCAGCGACGACGACCGCTGCAACTCTTCCCTCGGAACAATCGAGTACATGGCTCCCGAGGTAATCCAGGCAAAGCCCTACGGCAAAGCCTGCGACTGGTGGTCTCTCGGCGCACTGGGCTATGACCTCTTAACCGGCTCGCCGCCTTTCCGCGCGAACAACCACTCAAAGCTGCAAGAGAAAATCATCAAGCAGAAGCTCGTCCTGCCCTACTTCCTCGGCCCGGACGCCAAAGATCTCCTCACCCGTCTCATGCGCAAGGACCCCGCCAAACGCCTGGGCTACCACATGCCCAAGGACCTGGTGACAATCAAGAAACACCGCTTCTTCCGCAAAATCGACTGGGCTGCCCTCGAGCGTCGCGATCTCGACCCGCCCATTCAACCCGTCGTCACGGACCCTGCTCTCGCGGAGAACTTTTCTGCGGATTTCATCCACCTCCCGCTCAGCCCGACTGTTACCTCGGCCGGCTTCGATGAACTGTATGCTTCTGCGAATGGCCGTGTTTCTTCGTCGTGCGGCGGACCGGACCATCCCCATTCGGGCGAGGGCGATCCCTTTGGCGGATTCAGTTTCGTTGCTTCGAGCAGTCTGCTGGATCATGGACAAGGTGTGATGACTGCGGGTTATTGACTTGTGCTGTTTTGTTTTGTTCTTCTTTCTCGTTTTGCATCTCGAAGCTCGATGTATCAGGCCTGGTGCCAACCGCATACGCAACTTGACTTTTGTTGTTACTTTTGTGTCCCTACATGGCTTTGGAATATAGAATATTCTTTTCTCATTCATTGGTCAACATTATACATTTCGGGATAAGTTGTCCCTTCTAGTCCATCCAGTAGTACGAGTCATCCGTGCTATAAGCCCTAAATCTCACCCTCTTCGCTCCCTCCACCCTCATCATCGACGTCCCCTTTCTGTGGATCTGATCTAATCGAGTCTGCAGGCTGCGCCGTTGCAGGCCGAGAGGGAGCCCCTTCATCAGACGCAATCTCGCCTTCTTCAGGGGTTGTGTCATCTTTTGCGGGTGCGGATGTGGATTTTAAAGGATGTCTCGATAGTGATGTTGCGGATTCCAGTGCTTTCTTTGGAATACGCGGTAGACGAGGTTCGGCGGTGCTGGGTTTTGATTCTTGTCCCGCACCGGGAGAGACTGTTCGCTGGCGTTTCGGCGAACGCTCCCCACCATTCTGGGGAGGTTGTTCGGGGATCCGAGATGGTAAAGACCCCGAGAAAGACTCTGGCTCGCGCGAGCGCTTACGGCCGTTCGAAGGAGCTTCTGCACTACTAGCAGTAGGAGGAGGGTCTTGTGAAAGACGGGTCGGGTCCTGGGGGATCGCGGGGTCGGAGATGGCAAAGTCCGGATACCCCTTGCTAAGGTGTTGGTGGACGCGCTCGTAGATCTGGACAATCAGCCTGCAGGCGCGGATGAGGTCGTCGACGCGGACATCGATGCGGACCCACCAGGGGCGGCCCTCGTCGTCGTCCGGGAAGGCGACGTTGCAGTGTCGCGCGGCCGCGTAAAGCGCCGCTGCGGCGATAACGCGCGGCGGGAACTGGAGACACAGCACTGTGTAGGTTGAGTCGTTGAGGAAGGCGTACGCCGCGTGGCGGAGGGGCCGGTTGTCCTGGACGTTGAAGAAGAGCGAGTAGTCCCACAGGATGCGGTACGGGGACTCGAGTTGCAGATCGAAGCAGAGGACTTCCAGCATGGTGCTCTCGTTCTGGAGGAGGAGATCGCGCCATTTCCAGTAGTCCTTGGACTGCTCGTCGACGATCATGTCGGCCTGCTTGAGCGCGACGCGGCAGCAGGCGATCACGAAGTCCTTCATGCGCCGCATCGTCTCATCTACCTTGAACGCGACGAATAGCGCCACCCCTGCAATCACCTTGGGATGCATCAGGTTCGAGGAACTCTCCGGGTAATGGCCCTGGAGCGAGTAGCGCATGAGGAAGCGGTGCATGAACACCGTGGCGGTCATGGAGGTCTGCGGCGGCATCTTGAGCATCATGCTCACCTGCCAGATAAACTCCACCGCGCGGTGCCGGATGTGGTCCTCCTCGCCGCGGCCGATGTTATCGATGCGCGAGGGCGTGCGCTCCAGCTCTTCGTCTGTGAATAGCCATTTTTGCTGCGCGGCCGCTACCACCGGGTTGGGTAGGCCGGGGATGCGTCGTTTGTGCGGTGCGGGAGATGCGGATGACTCCATTGGTGTGGTAGGGAGGAATTGCTTCGGGGAGGGAAAGACCGTCGGTCAGGCGCAGTGGAAGAAGGCAATAATTAATGCGCGCCTGCGCGCTCCAAGGGGTCGATGCGGGACCTTCTGCTCGCGGGGTTGATTAAGCGTAGCGTGCGCGGGTGTTCATTGCATGTCAACCCCAGGCATTTTCGAAAATTAGACTGGAAGAAGAAGGAGGAGGAGAGCGATGAAAAACAGCCAAGAACGAATGTCGGAAGTACTACGTGATAGGTGTCGGGACGGAACAACCTATCTCCGTACAAGTCTACAGTACAAAGAACGAACGAACATATTCAAGAAGAAGCAGATGAGAGATATAATAGATGCAAGTAAATTATTCCGTGGACGCCGCGCTATTCTTTAATACATGGTATCATTCCTCCTCGCTTACCTCACTTTCGTCATCGCTGGCAACATACTGCCGAGACGCCGACTGGCCATACTGCTGGCTGCGGGCTTCTTCTTCCCTGGCACTTTCTGCAAAGGCCGCCTCCATCTCCGCCGCTAGGGCGTCGTCATCCACTGTTCCATCCCCCTCTCCAGAATTCGAAGGGTTGACAGCATCTCGGGCTGGAGAGGGGAGCCGCAGATCCTCCATGGACTCGTCTCCGTCATGGGAATCGGCCTTGGGGGTATTGTTGGACGAGAAGTAAGCGGGATTGACCTTGAATGCCGGTCGAGAGGGCGGCGGCGATCCCATATCGATAATCAAATCTCCGTCAATGATGATATTTGAATTGGGCGATTGGTCCGCATGCTGGGACGCCTCTGCGTCCGAGGGCGGCGAGCGAGAGTCTTCCGGTTCAAGTTCAGCACGGCGAGATTTTTCAGTGGCTGATTTCGCGGCTGGCTTCTCTGCGCGTTTCTTCTGTTGTCGGAGAGGGTTGGTCTGGGTCTTGGGTCGGGCCATAGGCTTCGGGGCCGACTTGGTAGCCGCCGGCACCTGGGGTGTATCGGCCCTGCTTGCAGATAGTTCGGGAGTGGTGAGGTAAGAAGCAGGCTTGTCATCCTGGGCACGGTCCTTGGGGAGGAAGTGCCGATAGTCGTACGGGTTGCTATCGTCGGCCGGGCCCTCGTCCTCGCTGGTGCTACCCGTGAGCCGGTCGTCTCCCGATGCGTGATCCTCTTCTTGGAATACGCGCAGTTGTTCGTACTGTTCGAGGACCTGGTTTTCTGTCTTGCCCGGAGCGGACCGCAGGTTAAAGTTCAGTTTGGTGGAGACGGGCTCCAAGACAAACACCTTGCGGTCCGAGTCAAAAACCAGCACCAAGTTCCGGTCCGCTGAGGGATCCTCACTGCCTTTGTAGGAGTATGACAGCGTGTTGTCGCCATTTGGTGCTTTGTCTTTTACGACCAGGTCGTAGAGGTCGCGGGATCGTGAGGAGCGGGTGATGTTGGATCGCTGCTGGGGCGTGGCGGACTTGGTCTTGTAGTTGTAGTTGATGTTGACAAGACGACTCTGAGCGCCGGTACTCTCGGCCAGGCGGTCTCCCAGGACAATGGGGTACTCGGCCTGTTTCGTGGGATCGATCATGGTGGTTGGCGCGGCCATGTCTCCGCCTGGGGTGAGCAATGCCGAGCCAGTGTCAGGAAAGGTGAAGGGGGAGGCAATGCGGGTTGGGGCTGAGAAGGTTGGAGGCCTTGGGGGGGCCAGGCGAGCGATGCGCAGGGCGTGATTGATTGAGCGACAGTGTCGACTGGGAGGGTAACACAGAGAGAGGGATGATGACAGTGGAAGTAGTAATAACTTAGGTAAGTCAAGGGAACCAGAGGAACAAAGGCGGAGAGCGGAGAGTCAAATCGCCGCGGCTGCTGATCCCGATTGGTCTGGGCCTGAGTGGATGACTACTGAGTAGTAGTAACTACATCGTAGTTCTGGAATGGCGACCTTGATATTTCATGATCAAGTACTGCACGGAAAGTGTTTAGAGGACGATGAATTAATTAATGATGGCACCGGAAAGAGGTTTACTGGAACTATGGTGACTGGTTAGCTCCGGCTTAACTCCAGCTCACCCTCAAGGCCGTTCGGACCACTTCTTCTGAACTCACCCACTACGAACATGGCCTTCGAGTTCATCGACAACAGTACTACCATCAGCAGGGCTGAGCGCAAGCGCATCCGCAGCCATGTAGCCAAAGGCCGCAACGTGGGGAAGACCATCGTCCGCCCATCCCGAAAGAAGCTTGCAGTCCCCCGGACATTTTCACCCGAGAATAAAGAGAATCAACCGCGAGACAGAGAAATCGAACGTCAAATTGGCGACGGGCTATCTGTTCTCGGGCTACCAGCGCCACCGACTCTGGCGTCCAAACGCCTCGTCCAGAAAGGTGAGTCAAATAAACCAACCAGGTAATCAGTGAAGACACTAACGTCGAACTCAGCCCTAACCTTCTTCTCCGGTCCCCGACATGCCCCAGAGCTAGACAAGGCCCTCGATCCCTATGCTCGCAATCCCGCCACCATCTGGACGCAATTCATCTTCATGGACGAGGCCTGTATGTCCTCAACCATACCCTAAATATCAATCACGACTAACGCTCAAGCACAAACAGACTTCCATTGTGCCATGGCAATGGCCATAACAGCCTTAAACAGCCTGGTAGTGCAATCCGAGGACCCAGCCGACGCAATGCGTCACTTGGCGCTCTCGCTGCGCATGGTGAATCAACGACTCGTATCCCCCCACGACGCCCTCTCAGACACGACCATAGCCGTGGTTATCATGCTGTCTCATTACGAGCGGCATCAGGGTCATATGCGTCAGGGGCAGGTGCATTTTGATGGGCTGCTTCGTATGGTGGAGCTGAGGGGTGGAATTACGTATCTGGCGAAGACCAAACCTAGTATAGCCCTGAAACTGTACATGTAAGGGCCGGGCTTTTTGTGTTTCTGCGGCAATTCGCTGACTTTTGGCCATAGAACCGATCTGGACTATGCTCTCCAACTAGGTATTTCGACGCATTACAGCGTCGATGACATTTCATATGGCATGACCACGCTCTTGGACCGCCAAGATGACCTAGAGCAACACCGCGCCCTATCACCTCCATCTTTACTTCCAGCATCTCTCTTCCATGACTTGGGAACAAACCTCCAAGGCCTCCTGACAGACATGATATCTTTCTCCCGCATAGTCAACGATGCCGTGTCGGGGCTCCGACCTACATTTAGCGGCTACACGATGCATTGCACACTCCTCGTCCTGGGATATCGTCTCGTGGGCATCAGTCCACTAGCCGGTCCCCGACCCGACGACCACCTCGTAGATACTATCCATCTCGGCCTGGCGGCATTCATGGTGACGTTCCTACGAAGACTTGATCGGAAGATTGCGAAGATGCCGCTTTTGTCTAGCGTCGCTCGCACGGCATTGGATAAACTCTATCTTGATGAGAAGGGGGCACAGGAGAATCAGGAGGTCCTGTTGTGGTTCCTTTTCCTTGGTGCGGCGTCGGTTTTTAGGGGCGTGGATCATTCTTCGTGGTTGGTTCTGAAGGCGCGGCAGACGCTGAACGCTTTGGATCTGAGCTCTTGGGGAGATATACAGGAGGTATTGGTTAAATTTCCTTGGGTCCATACGCTTCACGATAAAGCGGGCCGGGAGCTTTGGAATCGATGTTCATTAGCAGAAGTATGACCTTGGTATACGATCGATGCATTCACGGACTATTGACTTGTCTCCTCAAGTAACTGCACCCTAATCCCAAATCTAGAAAAGATTTATTCCAAGATTCTAGCCACGCATCCAGGCTCAACAGACTCAAGTTCACGAGCAACAGCCTCCCAAGCCCACTTCTGCATCTTCTTCCCTTCCTCATCATCCACCCAGTCAGGTACCTTGAACCTTGGAACAAACAGCAATGTCAGCACAAAGAAACCAAGTAAATCAAAAGAGGAGAGAGGTGTGGACATACTCTCTAATTTCGCAGTCATCGAGATAGCACCCATGACTCGCCGCACCGGCAATAGCACCGTGCAGCAGCGTACGGCTTCCTTGCTCAGCAGTGCGCCCACACTCGGCGTGCATCTGCGAGAGCTTGGCGCGAAATTCCGGAGGTGCGTTCCGGGACAGTTCTGTCTTGCACAAGCCTGGGTTGATCAGGTTGATGACGACGCCAGTTTTGGAGACGGGGACCAATGGTGCGAAGTGTCGGACTGCAAAGACTTCAAACAGTTTGGACCCGGAGTATCTAAGGAAGTAGTTAATTAATCAGCATGAAATCCTGTCGGGGTTTATTGGAACGGAAGAAAAAGAACTTACAAGAACTCCACTTGAGACTCAAGGTTGTCCATTTTGGCAATCGGATCATCCGCGACTGTCAGCCACTGCTCCTTAGCGCTGAACCCAGCGCCGCTGGTGACGATGGCAATGTGCGGCTGGATTTCGAGTCGTGCCGCGTCCGCCATCAGCTTCGGGAGCAGCAACACAGCGAGCAGGAGGGTGCCCGTCACATTCACAGTCACGGAAAGTGGGTGTCCCTCAGCCCGCATGTCTGAACCCGCCGCCACGGCAGCGTTCTCGATCACTGCGTCAATGCGTGATAGTGAAGAGATCGCTCGGCTCGCAAAGGCCTTTACAGATGTGTAAGAGGACAGGTCCAGCTCCCACACCTCAGCAATGCCAGCTTTGCCGGTCTCCGCTTCGATGGTCGCCAGAGCGGACTGACCAGCGGCCACATTGCGACAAGCCATGATCACCTTGTCTGAGCCGAGAGAGACAACGTGCTTAGCGGCCTCGTAGCCCAGGCCGACGTTGGCGCCTACCACAATGTAGACTCGTCCCTGGCATAGCTCGGGAGTCAGCACAAGAGGAAGGTCAAGCACCTGCTGCATGTTGAGGTTATTGTTTTTGAAAATGAGGAGAGATCTGGATCTCCGGCAAGGAAAGCAGTAGATATTTATATTTCGAAGCAGGGAGTCCCTGAACAGGACTTTAGCATTAAATCCGCATGGCTCCGTCCGAGTTGGTTCGCAACGAAGGCAATGATGGAGAAGACATCCACTGAGAGACTGATTTCCTAATCTGGAACAACCAATCAGAGGGTGATGTCCTAATGCGGAATAGCGCCATCCAAGTGCTCTTGTTGTTGAGCCTTTCTCATATCATCCTGCTAACCTTGGCGAGGGCTTAAGTTCCGATGTATTAATATCGTCTATAAATTCGTTCTAATGAGACGCCCGCGTCAGTTGCTCCAACCGTCCGGCCAGCGCCCGGTGCTTGCGCATTACCTCCTCCCACTCGTAACCGATTTCCTCCTCGCCGCTCAGCTCGGTCAGGATCATACCAAAATCCCCTCCGAGACGGCCTAAGCTGGCGGCGCAGTACAGCAGTTGGGTGAGAAGGCTCTCTCGCGAGCTCTTATCCCGGACATTGGGGAGATAGGTGCGCATCGTCTCGGTAAGCAGCTGGACTAGGTGCATGGGGAATGTTGCCAGCGCGGGAGGCAAGCGCTGTAAAGGATCATCGGGACGGGCCGGCCGTGACGAGGAAAGCGACTTCGCTTTGGCATCTGCACCCCGCAAGCCCGACCCAGCCAGATCAGACTCGGACTGTTCGGAGCCAAAGATATTCTTGTATAAGGAGACGATCGCGAAGCTCTGCTCGCGGAAGATTTCGATGTAGCGCTTCAAATACCGATCTGTCTGCTGGCCGTCTGACCAGGAAGTTGGCTCTGTATCTTTGCCGTTGGTTCGTCGCTGGGTTTCTTGGTCTGCGAGCTCACGCAGCGGATCAAGTGCTTCGAGGGTCGACACCAAGTTGGCCAGCCTGCAGATCAAGAAGATAGCTCCCAGCGCACCTTCGCTTGTGCCGGCGGCTCCATCGGCTTGAAGAGTCTCTAAATCCGGAGCAACACGCCGCAACCAGCCCACGGTTCGCATGCCAGCTGCGAGACGCAGGTTCTGGGCTCGGAGCCCCGCGATGAGGTTGGTTGTCATCTCTTTCATTGCATCTTCTGCCTGGGCCGCAACGTCTTTGATCAACGGTGAGTCCGGGTAGAGGGTCTGGAGTCGTTTGATATGTGCGTAAAGGTCGAGGGCGGACGAGTAGGTTGTGGAGGAGGAAGCACCGCCGCCGGTGCCGGAGGTTGCTGACGCGGCGGACACGGCCGTTGATAGCAGGGTCGGCAGCTCTAGAATGTCTGATAGTCTGTCGACATTGCGTGCCAGCTGCATGGCTTTCTTCCGTCGATCCAGAGCGGCATTGTCTGCAATCTTGCTGTATTTTGTGGAGAAGCCCACCGCCACCTGGTCGAGTTTAGGCAGCGCATCGCGAAGTTGTTGAGCCTCACGGGTTAATTGAGGGATGGATGAACGTAAGGTAGAAAGGTTATCGGCAGAGGTGATAAATGCCCGGTGCGAGCGGTTGGACAGGGCCTGGAGGGAGAGGAGAGTCGAGTGCGAGGCTTGGGAGAGCGACTGCGGTTCGGTTGTCTGCAGGGCCTGGAGGGACAGTGTAGACAATCGATTGAGATACTGGGTCGTGGTAGCATCAGGCGAACTAGGGCTCTCGAGCTGGGGCACCAGCAGCTCGAAGAGAGAGTCAGCCATGAGGGGTGAATAGAATGTGATCTTGGTAAACGCGGCGTTGTGAATGGAGGACGTCGTGGCCCGTGCACGGCTTCGTCACGTTCTTCTTCAGCCCAGAACAGAACTCTTTCATTCTTTCTGTCACTTCCTATCTTGTCTTGTCTCTATGTCTGTCGTTACCGAGAACTTCCCTTTGGGTTCTCTGTAATTGCTCCTCTCTCTCTATATCTCTTGTTCAGCCAGATGCCACTGTCATTATGGGCAAGCCGCGGGTGAGTGCTGGAGTTCCCCGCTGCAGATCTGAACAATCGCTAACCCACGAACTGCAGATGATTATTCTCGTCCGCCATGGACAATCGGAAGGAAACAAAAACCGCGAGATCCATCAGACAATCCCCGACCATCGTGTGAAGCTCACGCCCGAGGGTCATCGGCAAGCCCAAGAGGCCGGCCGCCGGCTACGCGATCTCCTCCGTCCCGACGACACGCTCCACTTCTTCACTTCTCCCTATCGCCGAACGAGAGAAACTACCGAGGGCATCCTGGAATCTCTGACATCTGATTCGCCGAGCCCCTCGCCTTTTCCGAGACATACCATCAAGGTCTATGAAGAGCCGCGTTTGCGGGAACAAGATTTCGGGAACTTCCAGCCATGTTCAACGGAGATGGAGCGAATGTGGATGGAAAGAGCAGACTATGGACACTTCTTTTACCGTATTGCCAACGGGGAGTCCGCGGCGGATGCCTATGATCGAGTGAGCGGGTTTAACGAATCTCTGTGGCGCCTCTTTGGGGAGCAGGACTTTGCCAGTGTCTGTGTTCTTGTAACGCACGGCCTCATGGCTCGAGTGTTTATGATGAAGTGGTATCATTGGAGTGTGGAGTACTTCGAGGACCTGCGCAACATCAACCACTGCGAGTTTGTGATCATGACCCACGACCCGGAGAGCGGCAAGTATGCGCTTCAGAATAAGCTGCGCACATGGTCCGATTTGCGCCAGGAGAGAGATCGTGAGCGTGCGACTAAAGAGGTTGTTTCGTCTCCCATTACGTTGACAGATCCTACTCCTATCCGAAGGAAATGGGGCGGGTGTCCCGATGGGTGCAATCATATGCCGGCCGATGTCCAACGATCGCTCCGAGCGAAGCTTGTGGGTTCTGTTCGCCATGAAAGTGGTCACCCTCGACATAAACATGTGGATGGCCATGTGCAAAGTCCCGGTCACTCCAAAAGTCATAACCACCACGAAACAGCCCCAGCAGATAGAACATCAGCTGCACCCACCTCCTCAGAGTCCAAGCCATCAAACCCCGTCGGCGATGATCATCCCAATTGGAACGATCTTCCATCCCGAAATCCCGCTCATGCGGATCGACACGCCAATGGCAAACCCCGGCTAACTGTGGAGGCTGGAGATGCCCAAACCGATCCGCAGCTCCGAGACTCCAGCTCCGACAGCCGGCCAACCGCTGCCGCATCGCGTCCCAAACGGCCCACCCTGAACGGATTGCACCGAGATAGCGAAGACCATCTTCTCCATCCGCCGGCGTCATCCTCATCCACAACCTGTCTTAAGCTTGCCCTTCTCCATCTCGGCGGTCGCGATGGAGGCGGATCACTTAGCGGTGCTAACAGTCTTGCCCCATCCGATGACGAAGGCGACGACCACGACCACCATGCACCTGTGTCGAGAGTCGCTAGTCGCGAAATCTCAAGTACCCCGACAGCACCGACGAGCCTGCCTCTCCAATCTCAATCTCAATCTCAGGAGTTTGAGAACGACGGCGACGACGAGATGAGCGGCAACCTCTCCGACAGAGATCATAAAATCCGAACACATCACCACCATCACCACCACCGTGACCAGAACCACAATCATCATCATCATCACCACCACCAGCGCTACCCGTCTTCAAACCTCTCCCAGGGCGAGCACCGGATGGCCAACATCTTAGGTGACGGAGATAGCGCCTCCACCCAAGAAGAGACCCCAGGCCAAACTGGACATCAACAGGAGGATAGTAGTGCACAAACGCAGCCTAGTTCTAGCGACTGGCACGATGTTGAGAAGGAATCATCTCTGGATCAACAGCAGCAAGAGGACCAGAGTATTCAGGGGAGCGTCTATTGAAGGATGTCCCCATTATCTCTATATCCATTCCCTACTTAGTGATACTGTCTCTCTCGCTGACGACCCGCAACGACAAGTCCAACGACCACGACACCCCATGAGTGATGCGTTCCGCCTACATACAGGTTATTTTCCACATCTATATACCCTAACCTTCACTATATTTTGTCATTTTCCCGTGGTTAGTCCTGTATCTCGGTAGCATGTTCGGTCTGCCTCTGTTCCTGAATTATGCCATAATTACATGTTCATGCCAATCGCAATCAGGACTATCCATGTACTCGTTCGTCCCTAGGAAGCAGATATAACTGCGAAAGTGTTAGACCTGCCTGATAATCGGTCGTATTCCAAGCTCTCAACGATACCCCATTCTTCAAACATAGCAAGAACGAAGTCCCTTCCTTCTACAGAAATCTCTACCGATCTACACTGGAGACAAGTTCAAGAAGAGACAAAGGACGAGCTCGTCGCTTTGGTTTTGTTTGTTCATGCTCTTCAATAAAAAAAAAAGTATTCCCAGACAAACATCCCCACACACGGTTGATCCATGTTGACCAATTCCAAGGAGACCGAGGAATCCAAGCACGGCGTGCGTGGGCTGCTGGATACTAGAAAAAGGAGATGAGAGAAGATGGATATAGACTACATACAGACCGCGGCCCTCGAGGACCAGACGGATCAGGATGCAATTGCTGCGAACACAGGGCAAGCATAACAAGAAAGCACCATCGAAGGATGAAATAACTCGAATCCAATTCCAACCATGGAAAGAAAGAAGGATAGAGATGATTGAAGACGAATGCTTAGGAAGGGACCATCGGAATGGAACGGTAGGTAGACGGCGTCATCAAGGTGATTTTGATGATCTTGGGATGGGAAAAAAAAAAAAAGTTTTGAATGGTATGGAGAGACAAAGTGTTGGAAAAAAGAAGTCGTTCAAGAAGAATCCGAAGTGACGAGAAGGAATGAGAAGCGAAGTATTAACGCCAGAACACACGTTGGGTTGTTGTTAGCGTGAAGGGTAATGGGAATAATATACCGACATGAGAAGAAACAAAAAGACGTGCAGGAAAGCAATCTATGGGGTAGTCACCGCCAAACACAAAATGCCAAGCAAAAGGGAAAAAGAGAGGAAAGAGAAAATAAACTGAAGATATGAACCGAAGTCATGGGTAATCAACAAGAGGTCAGAATTTGTGGGCTTTGAATCGTTATCGTCGTGACTGCGGCTCCGGCAATTCGTTGGAACAAAATTCACCGAGCCACACAGGTGACACCATGCCAGAAACACATGTTCCCAGAGAAGCATGGGCGAGCCTGTGTGCGCATCGTGGATCGACCGGAGCATGCCAATGTCGCTGCGGGAGCGTTGTTTTCCTCTTTTTTTGGTGATTTTTGGAGAATTTTCGCTTTGTCGACAACAACCAGCAGGCGCAGAACAAGGTACTTTTTTTCGCGGGGTGACGCGATATGCCGGTTGCTCGAAAGCGAGTAGTGGCAGCAAGAAGGTCAAGAAACAAGGGTGGGCATCGAATCAGATGAAGCAAAAAGAAACGGTATCATCGAACAGGAAAATTCATGCAAGTCGCCAAACGTCGCAAAGAATTCTAAAAACACTCGAGACTTGGTGACCCAAAGTCTCAGAAAGACAAAAAAAGACTTTAAGTGCTGTCTCGTCCAGAATCATGAGTTAAAACGAGTTAACCAGCAAGGATGGGTTGCAGGGAGGGGAAGGCATTGTTGCACATGTAGTTCTCTACATGCTTGGCACAATACATGCAACCGCACGAGGAACCGTGACCTGTCCACACGCTCTGCGCAAAGGGCAGACCATATGCGGGAGTATGATGGTAGGACGGAGGTTGCGACCGGGGAGCAGACGGCGGTATGTACTGCGGCGGGGGCGCAATCCAGGCCCGCGAGTACGGCGGCGGCGGGTTCGAATACGCCCAGGGCCCAACTGAATAGTAGTCGGGGGTGTTGGGTCCACTGTGGGGGGCGGACGGGGGCGAGTACTCGGACGCGGTCGGGTTGAGCCAAGAATTCTCCAAGTGCAAACTGCGCTGGTACTGCAGCGGGATGGGTCCCTCAGGGGACATCAGAGGCTTGGTGGCGCCTTGGTTGCTGCGGACGATGTTGGTGTCCAGAGGCGCCAGGGTCTGACGAGACTCTTGAGCCCGAGCATTCGCCTTCGCGCGCCAGGTATCCCAGTGAGCGCGCCACGAGGCAAAGCCATCCTGCTGGTCGTAAATGCGGTCGTGGATCTTCCAATCGAACGCGAAGAGCCATTCCAGCTCCATGCTGTTCAGCTCCGCAACGGGAATGTTGCTAACTTCCGCCCACGACTTGTTCTGGAAGGTGTTGTCGTCAAGGAACTTGCTGCCCAACAGCAGAGCCACGGTCAACATACGGTAGACCTGGCCATTGCCGGAGAAGAAGACTCGTTGGCCAGAGAGCATGCGCATCCGGCTGGACAAGTAGAAGAGACCCAGCAGGATTGTCGAGCTTGGCAGGCGGGTCGAAGACAAAATCTGGTAGACGTATTTCCGAAACTGAGGGGGCACCGAAGATCCTGGGTAGATGCTTCGCGCGAAGTCAATATCTGCAAGGTTGATCTTGGTCTTGTACAAATCATACATTCCCTGGGCCATTTCCGCCACAAAGTCGGACATGCGATCCATCTCGTAATCCAGGTGGGCGGCGACACCTCCGGTAGCTTTCTCGTCCTTGCGGGGCTGTTCAGCAGCAGGGTGCTGCTGCTGCATCGCGGCGATTTCCGAGCGGCGGTACTGTGGCGGGATCGCGCTGTCCATGGGGGGAAGCTGGGTGTTGGTTCGGATGGGCGGGAGCGTGGTCGCCATGGTGCCGAACATTGGCTGCTGGCCCATGGTGCGCAGATCCTGGCTGGCTCGCATCGGGTGCAGGTTCATCGAAGCGGGTTTCGCATAGCACAGAGACTGCGAGTACTGCTCGATGAATTCGGAACCGCTCTGGTGGTAGCGATGCGGAAAGCCCGCGTGGCCTACCTGGTAGAACGGAGCGTTGTCCATGCGGCCGCTGTTGACGTGGGGAGGGGTGGGAGGCAGGCCGTGGCCTGGAGCGTAGAAGGACGGCATCTCAAAGGGGTGAGGTAAGAGACACCAGATCAGGACGGGGAAGGGCAGACAAGTCTGGCCAAGGACACACAAGAGTCAGCAAAAGACAACCCTCTCTGGAAGAGGACGCGAAGTGTGATGAAACCGAAGGACGAACCGTCTACCGTTCCGCAGTGCCCTGAGCCTGGAGGGAGGTGAGGGCGCAGCTCAGCGAGCGCGTCGCTCTGTTGTGGTCGTAGGGAACGTCTCTAGTTGAATGACATTGAGGAATATTCAACCACCTGAATGGATAGAAGACAAGAGAAAAAAGAGAGAGCGAAGGAGTGTAGGGCGTGGTGACAATAGATGATTGACGCCAGGTCGGTACTCGGGTTGGGCCGAATTTGCTGTCGCTTTTCCAGGTCCAAGAAAATGGATTTAAGAGCAAGCCAGAATGCAGAATCGAAGCGACTCAAACCACCGGGAGTGAGAAATCCTCGATGCGCCCCAAAAAGGTTTTTCTTTCTTGGTGGATGACGCGCGGGAGGCGACGGGCCACTGGTCTGTTTTGGGGGGAAGGGGGGACTTTTTTCAGTTCCTCGCGTGGAGGCTGGCAACGACACTTAGTGAAAAGCTCGTTGGTGTGGGAGGAGTCGAGGTTGTTGGAGAGGGTTAGAGCAGCGAAGAAAGATGGGGAGAGAGAAAGGTGGAAGAGAGGAAGGGGAAAAAAGGGAGGAAGAGGAGGGTGAAGAATAGGGAAAGAAAGGGAAGGGAAGGCGAGGGCCGTTCGTTCGGGGCTGAGTGTGGTGTGGTGTGGGCGACAGGCGAGAGTGGGTGTGGGTAAGATTACGGTCATCAATACCAGGAGGGCCTCGATCATCCTCTGTTCATCCCCTTTGATTTTCGTCCCGCGGGGCAAAAATACACCACACACAATTTGTGTTTCGCACTAATTACGATTGACAGTCGCCCCCGTCTGTTTCGGCAATCCATGTCTGCTAGCTAATAATAATGATCCCTTGGAAATTACTATGGATTCTTGTATTATTCTCGTCTCCCTGTGACCCCCTCCCAACTGTCTGACGCCGTGGCGAGAGTGATGATGTATGGTACGGAAACCCGAAATACTACGGCTACGACCTGGACTCTAGGCAAATCCGGTGATGCAACGCCCGTGTCACTGGTTCTGACAACTGGAACGGCACTACGCTTCAAATAGGAAAGGACGGGAGGGCGAAAAACCAAAAGGAAAAAAAAAGAACGGACTCGTGCGGCCCCACTGCGAACTGGCCGTTTTCCATACAATTAGACTCCCGTGCTTCACCGGGCAACACGACTCGCATAATAATAATACTGTAATGCCCTAAGAAAAATGGAGACGAAAAACGGAGCAGTCGGAAGACAGTTAGTTTAGCAGGTCAGCTGGTTCGTCTGACATACGATTGTGGTCAAGCCCCATACTTGCACATTCCACCCGTTGCTCGGCCTACCACCCGACTGCTGCAGAACTCCTCGAACACCCCAAATAGAACATAACATGCTAGACCGGTCGCACCTCCTAGCATATAGAGACAGACCCAAATAATAATCTATCAATCAATAGGTTACTGCAGCTGCACACCCGCAGTCACTACTAGAACAGCCGCACGCACACCCGCTCAGATCACACGCCCGCCCGTCCGTCCAACCTCGCAAGGGCCCCCTTCTGCCCGGATGAACCCAACTCACCGACTTTGACTCGTCCAGCCCAATAATAATAGTGTGACAGGACCACGCACACACACACAGCCCTCTGACTCATTCACTGACCGGACGTTAGTTACAGGCAGACAAGAAAACGTGGACCTCGAGCGGATCCCTGCAGTGAGCCTAATAGCGTCATGCCGCATGGCTGGAGACGAGAGAGGGGAACAGGACTGATTAATAATTCCATATTATTCTCGGATGATGACGGTTCTCCTTCTAGAACACTCGTGCTTGTCCTGCAAGTAGTTAGTTCGGTTCCCTCCCAAAATACCGCGTTGGGGTATTCCGCCCGGAAATATATATTCACCTACCAAAGTAGCGTACTTGCATGAACTAATTTAGTAGGCCACCACTGCGATGGAAACCCACTAAACTAAAGAAGACCCGGCTACAGTCGGACATGTTCTGCTTCTACGACAGTCCCGGGAAACTGCAGATGCGCCCAAGCTAAATCAATTTTCCTCTGGTGAAACCAACCCCCCCTCCCCTTTTGACCCCGGAGCCGACCCCGCCAGACCTAGGGAAAATCCGGGACATCAAAGGGGCACGTACCCAATGGCGGGGGAAATGAAAGCATCGACGTTAAGACGGATCGGCTCGGATGTTTCTTGCCGTCATAAATTGGATATTGGTGTAGGTTTGGGCCTTGCCACCCGCACCCGACTGGTGTATAGGATGTAGCTTCCTTCCTCCCAAAATGCCTCGCTGGTTAGAGTATTGTTCTCCCGCCGGAATCCCAGAAAATACGAAACGGTCTCTTATTTCTCCGCAGGCCTTTTGTTTGTATTCTTTCCATGGTGCCACTACTCTATACGACCCAAACCATAGCATGGCTGTCGATATCCATTCTACGACAGGACCATCGCGAGATTTGAGGGACCTCGATTTCTCTATTTCTCGACCACGATATATATAGAGAGCAAGGTGAGAATATGAGTAATATGATCAGGTGCAGCAGAGGGTAATAGACCTTTGTCGTCGTTATGTGTTTACAGCGGTCATGTGCTTTGGATTAAACTAGACACTTTTGGACTATAGGGCTCTGGAAGCCACTATTTTCTCCGAGTAGACGTTTTTGTTTGAACATCTATCTATTTCACCAGGAGAGTCGCTGCGGATATTTACTTTTCTGCAGTACATAACTTGGATATGTTGTAGGAATCGACCTAGATTCACTGATGTATAGCACGCACATCCAAACGAACAGGAAGGATCCCGTGAAATTGGTTGGGCTTGGTATTTCTATCATGCTAAGCTTTTGATTTTTGATTTTGCGACAGGCCAGGTAAGGCACAAGAAAAGGGGAATGCACTAATAATAAATGCAAACCTCCGGACCCAATCGCATCGGCGAGGCAACAAGAGAATCAACAAGAAACACAACAGCCTGCCAGCCAGGTAACAGAGGGATATCATTAAGACTCAAATTCCCGCAGAGGGAGGGGAACAAACAGACACGGGGGGATTAACAAACACATGTACTCGTATACTCGATAAGTCGTCAGGGAAGAAAGGAAGGAAGCGGAGGTAAAAGCAGCCTAGCCCCTTCCATCACCACCAAAGAGATCCAGCTCCAGCTCCAATTCCAATCCAACTCCGCAACTCAACCCGAGAGTAAAAAAAGGTCGTAAATCGTGAGAGAGGCTGGGTCACCACGTCACTCGTCTTTCAAGCTGCCCACCAGATTGCGAAGCACGTCCATGATAACAGCCTCGTCTTTGGGCTCGCCGCCGGGGAACGAACTCTCCGTGGCATCGCCCAAAACGCGTGCACGCGCACTCCGGAGGACCTCTCGGATGTAGTTCTTATCCTCGTAGTCCTCCATAAGTACGTTTTCGAAGTCGTCGATTGCCTTGTTTGCTCGCTCGGTGAATGAGGATGATTCTGAGGGCCCGGCTGGCGCTGGGCTGGGCTGCACAGAACGCGGCTGCGGCGGCTGGTGCTGCTGTGGTCGAGGCTGGGCTGAAGGCAAACCGGATGGGATGTGCTGTCGCGGTTGCTGTTGCTGCGGTTGCGGCTGCTGCTGTGATGGGGGTGGCGCCTGTTGGTGGGGTGGATGAGAGGATTGTCGCTGGGCTGGCTGTTGATGCTGAGGTTGGAATGGAAGACCGGCGGGCGGAGGGTAGGTCTGAGGTGGTGGTTTGGCATGCGGTGGCGGCTGCTGCTGCTGCGAAGGAGGCTTTTGTTGTGAGGGATAAGGGGACTGCTGCTGCGACGGACCCTGGGCCGGCCGTGGCGTCTGCGACTGCCGGGGTGGAGCTGCCTGCGGAGGAGGATCGGCGGCGTAGGGAGAGGTGTACGTTGAAGGGATGGTCTTCGCAAAGGCAGCCGGCAGGTTGCTGCGGATAGGATTCGGAATGGGAAAAGATGCAGGAGTCGGGGCAGGAGCTGTAGCCGGAGCTGGAACTGGAACCGGAGACGGGGATGGGCCTGCGGCTGTAGCAGCAGGTGGCTTCGCCGGCGGATGGTATGGACTGGAGTGTTGAGGAGGGGCTGCTGCCGCTGCAGCAGGAGGAGGGAACGGATTGGAAGGCATGGACGGGAATTGGAACTGTTGATGTTGATGTTGATGCTGACTGGGCGTCGAGGCTTGCGCGTTCGGATACGAGTGACCCATAGGAGGCATGTACTGCTGGGGAGGAGGGCCAGCCGGAGGTTGAGATGACTGCGGCGGCGGCGCAGGCGGCGGTGATGGACGCCGCTTTTTCTCCTTCTCAACCGAGGCACCAGGCCGGAGCTGCCACGACCATCCCTTGCCATCTCGCTCTGCATGCATGAACAGATGACCGTTGCCGTTGAGGTTGTGCCGCACACTGGATGTCCAGCCCTCCGTCTCACACTTGAAGCGGAAGTACGGGTACTTCAGCTTGAGTGCGCGATAGATCTGTTTCAGCGTCATTGGCGTTCCTGCTTCCGTCAGAGCATCGAAAATGAGAACGGCGTAGTTGTAAGGAGGCTTTGCCAAATCTTCTGGAGTGTAGGCAGACTCGGGAGGATAGTTCGGCGATGGAGACCGGGAAGGCTTGCGCTTCTTAACAGGCGGAGGCTTGACCGGCGGTTCAGGCTGCTGCTCTGCTTGTCCACCCTCGGTCGAGGGGAGAGGGTAATCCATGGGCGTGCCATCACCCTTCTTCCGCTTGTTATACTTCCGTTTCTCGGCAGGTTTGGATGCAGGCGGCGACTCGGCGCCAACAGACTCCTTGGTGGTTGTCTTTCCAGCTTTGGTGGGTCGAACTACCGCCGGCGCCGGAGGTGTAACGCCGCCGTTGGCCTCGCGTTTGGCAGCTATCTTCTGTTCTCTTGCCAGCTCTGCACGTTCGCGCTTGGACATGATCCCATCCTTGGGAGGTCGACCAGGACCGCGCCGGCGGGCGGGCTGTTGGTCATTATCGCCCTCGATGGATTTCACCGCTTTTGTGGAATCAGAATCCTTGTTCTTTAGGACGATTTTCGTGGTCTTGGAATCCTTGGGTTCCGCGCTGTCGCTGGCAGCAATCTCCAGGTCATCGAGTTCGTGCTCGGCATCGACCGAACCACTATCCGCTTCCTCTTCTTCCGCTGCTTGCTCTTCCATCCGATCGGCTCCTGTTTCACCGATGGGGACGTCCGGTAACAAGAATCGGATGCGCACGCCTCCGATCTGAACATAGTCACCGCTGTGTAACGGGCGCACTTGACCCGGAGAGAGCCAGTCGGCTCCAATAAACGCTCCATTTCGTCCCATGACTTCCATTTCAAAAAGGTTGCGATCAAAGTTGTAAGCAATGCGTACATGTCTTCGGGAGATACCCCGGTGACCTGCGGCGCTGCCGTCAATCGTGGTCGGGGGGTGGATGGGGATGGTGGGACAGGAGTCTGGGGACGGAAGCAAAGCCAGCGTATCGACAGGCTTTGCGTCACCATTGCCCTCCTGTAAAGACTGCATCGCAAGCGCATTATAGTCGGTAACTGTGGTGGTAGTTGGCTGTTGTAATTGAGTCGGGTTCGCGTGGGTGGGCACAGCAGACCCATCATATGAGGATTTTGATGATCGTCGGCTGAGATTCAAGTTGGCTGGGAGGTTCGGAGGAATATCAGGATCGAAACCCATAATGCCTCCACGGTCACTCACTACACTGCCCATCATGGCAGCGCTCTCTTCCTGCTTGACACGGTTCGGGGTGTGCGAGGTGTTCCCGCCACTGGAACTCTTTGCCCGAGAACTCCTCACGGCTTGCCGATACTGGACCTCTCGCTGGTGCGCAGCACGCGCGGCTCGTACATCTCGACCGAGAATAAACGAGTAGGTATTGACATAAAAATGCCCATCATCAAACTCCAACTTGGCAAACGCTTGGATCCGAGGTTCCGATCCCGCCGTAGATGCAGTCCCATCTTGGTATCCCAGAGCCGACAGATCAGCGCTTTGAGAAAGATAAGCGGCCGTAAGCATCTCGTTCTGCTGGAGGGCCTCGAAGGCGTTTTTCGGGGCTGCCGTGAAATCCAAGGGCGGTAGAAGTGAGGGTTGCTCGAGGTTCGACTTGGGAACTAGTGGATCGGAGATGCTATTTGTTGCATCCGATGCATGTCGCCCATTTTCTTGTCCCATGCCCGACCCGGAGAAGATATCGCCAACGGTTGGCCCATTCGACAGATCCTGCAGCCGCGTTGACACTGAGGCTAGATCGGTCGGCGCAGCGGTTGAGTCGCCATCTAAGTCCTCCATCTTCACATGTGAGGTACTGCCGTGGCGCTGGTGTTGCGCTGCAGCATTCTGGCTAGGTGCAGCATTCGACTGGTTGCCGAGGAGTTGAGCGAGCAGGGCGCTGGCGGCAGATTGCGTATTGGTGTCCCTTTCGGTGGAAAAAGTGTGCTCGGATGGTTCTGATTTTATTCCGGTCATGTCCATTGTGGAAAGGCCGTGGGGGACGGCGGCCGAGGAGACAGGAGAGTTCTGCATGTCGCGGATTGCGGAGTCGCCGGTGGTAGTAGGAGGTGGTGGCGTTGGAGTCTTTCGCGGGGCGTCATTGGACTGCGAGCCATAATCGTATATGGGCGCTTCCGGACCTGGATCAGGCGGTCGATGGCCCACGGCTGGCGCAGTCATGGTCTGCGACGACATGGCTGGGGGAAGCGAGGGAGAAGAAGAACAGAAGCTGAAGTTCTCGTTGGGGCGGGCGGTGAGAGGCGGATGCCTGGTCTGTCAGGCTATACTCATTGTTTCTGAGTCTTCATCCTCGATTTTTGGGGCTGCTGATGAAACTATCAACTAGAATTTTGATTCATGTGTAGTCGCTGCTTTCTCTGCAGGCGACGATGGTGTTTTCACAGTACTTACTCCCCCTTTTGCTCCCCTCGGCCCATCCGCTGGCCTCCCAGTCAAATTTTCTCTCCCGCCCCGCCCAATAATCCTCTCCGGCTGCCTCCTCCGATCCACTTGGAGTGCCTGGTTCCTATTGGGCTTTACTCCTCGATCTGCACGGACAATCCACTCCAGTGTCTGCACCAAACCTGCGATTGATGATTGATCTTTCAGTCTGACGGCTGGCCTCTGCACCAATCTATGCCTTCTATATATTGAACTTCATATAACAGGGAGGGTTTTCACCAAGGGCATCCGGCGCTAATTAGTTAGTACTCGCTGAATGCTTGTCCAAACGGGTCTTGCGAGTGGAGTCTACCCCTCTTGGAGTACATATTTAGGCATTCGAGGCTCGGAATCATAACCGGAGATCAACAAAATAGCTCTACAAAAGAAAAAGATACAAAAAGATAGCAGAATATTACACGGTAAGTCGAGCCCCGAAAATGGCTACCTTGGACGCCATATTTACGTTGTAGCGATGCTGGCGCTGCCTGGAGTGTACCTCGTCAAAATGACTCGACTTGTTTGGATCCTGGAACTACTCCTATAGAGAATTGGAATGTTCTCAGCGTATAGATAAATTAATGTTCTATAACATACTAAAATGATATGTTAACCAGACGAGTATTACTGATTCTAGCCCGTTTTAGAAGGCGATCCAACTGGGCTTAGACCCACTTTTCCCTCCTGAATCAAGAACGAAACCCTGATTCGACTGGAGCCCATCCTAACCATAGAACATGTAGGTTCGCGCACCATGTCTTCGATCGGAGCACAACCATTTTAAGAATATTTACCTACATCTTAGTCATTCAATTCCCACGTTTTATAACCACGTGACCCCGTGAGTGACTTCATCACTCCGGATAACTAACTTCGTTAACAGATGTTGTATCCACCCACACACTGTCTGAGACGGTATATATAATTTGCCGACACTCATATAATACTTTCTCCGCTCTTGAACTCGAGCCTGGCACCGTTCGACATTTAGGCCGCGTTGTTCTATCTCCAACGTCATGAGTGCCTTATCATTCATGCTATCGCGCTCCTATTTTCACTATTAGGTTCGTGCTTCGCACGCTGTTTAACTTACCACTTAATCTACTTATAGCTCTGTCAAATAATAACCAGCATTTCTAATAGATCCCAGGAGAATTCTTTCAACTGTGGCAATACTCTTGATACAGGACTAATGTTTGGGCGTATCCCGGGTAGGTCCAAAAGTTCTAGCCCTAACCTTTGCCATGCCAATTTTTGTGAAGTTATTAATATCTACAGCCGACCAGCAACTCCAGTCCCATAATGATCCATCGGGCTCTAACCCGGCGACATCCCCTGCCGGGTCGAGCATCATCGATCCTTTACCCCCGTTACAACGAAGAGGATTAATTGCAGTTTCGTCTCTCGCCTCTATTTCATTAGTTACGACCTTTCTACTTCTGCTTTTCCTCACCTATCGGTTGATTTTTTGGCGCAGATACTATCGACGATATTACGGTCACAACCAATACGTCGTCCTCGTATACAACCTGGCGCTCGCAGATTTCTTACAGGCCCTCGGGTTTCTCGTTAGTCTACGCTGGATTACCACCAACTCCATTCATGCATCCGATGCATTATGCTTTCTTCAGGGCGCTTGGCTTCAGATTGGGAATCCTATGAGTGGGATGTTTGTGCTTGCCATTGCCCTATATACCTTCCTGCGTATCACCATGGGCTATCAGCTTAGTCACCGGATGTTTGTGATTACGGTCGTCAGTTTGTGGGTGTTTGGCGTGGTGATGGTCATCATTCCAATAGCAGCCGTTGGTCGTTATGTCTGGTTCCCTGCAGTCGCATGGGTGAGTTGAATTATTGACCATTCCCGGATTGACTTTAGTAGGCTTGGCTAAGCTCTTTCTTCCTGCTAGTGTTGGATTACAACTAAGCACCCAGCGTTGCGGCTGTGGACACACTACTTCTGGATCTTTGCCGCGCAGTTCTTCGCGGTCCTGCTCTATGCTATCATTTTTATTCGGCTTCAGCGCCGAATCGCCGAATGTGTGAGCCTTGGAGGACGCAACACAAACAGTCTTCGCCGCCTAAAGCGGGTCGTTGGCTACATGGTGATATACCCAGTCGTTTTTGTTTCCTTGACATTACCTCTCGCTGTTGGAAGGATGGCGTCTGCGAGTGGCCACACTCCCAGCGTTACATACTTCTGTGTTGCAGGGTCCCTCATGACGTTGTCCGGTCTGTGCGATACACTCTTGTATACCTTGAACAGGTGGGATTTGGTCCTAAATGCGGCAACTCCCACTTCATCCGGACGATTGTCTGTCACGGAGAGAAAAAATTCCCTTATGGGTAACATGTGGTCTCAGGTCATACACAAGCTGTGCTCCAAATCTAGTGGCAGACCGGCTTTGCAACGCAGCTCTACGAACGAAGGCATCCTAATCAATCAGGTTGACCGCCTGGAAGTGAGCCAAGTGCTTGAGGAGACCACAATTGACATAACATACGAGCCAGTGCATCCAATGGGCGTTTGAATATTCAATAGCAGACCGGATATGGATGGAACGGTAACTCAACAAAAGCGGGCTCTTGATCGTGCAAAGTGTGTTGAGTTCTGAGAAAGGCACGGGTGTACAGTGAAATCGATTTTGCTAAACGACCCCCCTCCCCGCAGAGAGAACAAGCGGGAGGAAGATAAAGAGAGGGAGCTGCCAAGAGGTGCTACACAACCTATGTGACCTTGTTCTCCGCCGGCTTACCAAATCCGAGGCTACGGACGAGACACTCTTCGTTATCCACATCCTCAAAGACCGTAGCCACAACGAACACAATAAGCGCGTCTACGCGCAAAGAAATCCGTCGTCCATATGTTGGCGGACTACCCGAAGCTGAGAGTCGGGGTACTATAAAGGATATCGCAAACATCTGTACTGAAAATAATTATCAAGTGGTACAAATTCAAATCCCAACGAATGCCGTTAGATCGTCGCACATCACTTAATTACTTTAATTTATCATAGCTCATCGCAAGTACATCGGTAGATACAAAGTAGGAAAGGGTAGCCAAATCCGTAATAGTGCACTTTCCCCAGCGTCTCACCTGAAGTGACGACCGACCTGCGAGGTTTCTTATCCTTTGTGCTATGCTAAGCGATGCCACGAGTATGATCCTGCAGGACAGATGATCCCTGCTGCCTAGGGAGTTCGTGACACGAAGACTATAAAGGGATTTTTCTATTAAGGTTTATTGAATAGACGGCGGGTTAGAGCCTATATAAAGGAAAGAGTGGATAGTATAGTGTAGAGATAATCAGATATTCAATCTCGTACATAAGTTGAAAGACCGGTTAAGGCGAGTATATCATGTTCAGTTCATTGACCTAGCATTACTTTACCGCTGTACACTAGCGGAGAAGTACATGCTGTAGATTCCTGCAAGCCGAGATCTTATCGATAACATCTGCGCACCACCACATCCACAACCCACCAAAGCCAGCAAGCAAGCAAGCAAGCAAACATGCCCCCCAAGTCCAAATCCAAAAAAGCAACGACAACCCCCCAAAACCAAAAACAACCCTCCAATGCCAATCACAACCCTCCAAATTGGCCGCCCCTCCGCCCCCTCCTTCCCCCGACAGACCTCACCCTCACGCCCCTCGTCACAGACCAGATCTACCTAATCCGCAACTTCCTCCCGGGAACACTTTGCAAGAACTACGTGTCATTCCTCGCGTCCCTCCCGCTCACCACCACACCGGGCAAACCCAAGAAAGATGAGGCAGTGCGCGTCAATGACCGGTTCCAGATTGAGGACGCAAGGTTCGCGGAGATGTTGTGGGGGGAGACGGCGTTGAGAGAGCTTGTGATGGAGAGGTTTGATGAGGGCGATTATGATTATGATGAAGAAGAGGGGAAGAAGGAAGAGAGCACTCTGGAACGGGCGCGAAAAGCACACCACCTTTGGGGCGGGACGCCGCTGGGGTTGAACTCGAATATTAGGGTGTATCGCTATTCACCGGGTCAATTCTTTGCGCAGCATTGTAAGTCATTGAAGGACAAACCAATACACCTATACCTTACACAAATACGCCAACGATCTGTGCATCGTTATATGCCCACCTATCTATATACTAATATCTATACACCAGACGACGAATCCAACACCCTCACATTCACCTCTCCCTCAACACCCAGTCCAACACCCGCGCGTACAACTTGGACTCTCCTCATCTACCTAAGCTCCTGCACAGGCGGCTCAACCACCTTCTATCCGGACGCGACGCGCGCGAATCCACATCCAAAACCGATCTCCGTAGCCCCTGAGACGGGGCTGGCGCTGCTTCATCGACATGGGGAGAGGTGTATGCTTCACGAGGGGAGTGAGGTGGTTAGTGGGGAGAAGTGGGTTTTGAGGAGTGATTTGGTTGTTGCGAGGTAGTAGTATTCGGTTATTCACATAATGGACTGGATGAATAGGGGAATCTGAAGATAAATAATCTACATTTGGGACATACGAAGGATTGGATTCGGTGGAGTTGAGTTGCAAAAAGGAAATTTCAGATTGAACACGTTCTTCCGTAAGTGGGTTCTCGGTCCTGCTCCGTTGATAATCGAGTCAGGCAAGGAAGCAAGCAAGGAATCAAAACCATCAGAGTATTGTGAGACAAGGACAACAACAGAAACAGATATGTAGATACAATTCAGGATCATAGCGAGTGTCGAATTGCGAAGAAGAGGTGGAAGGGGTAGGTCAAGCAAAACCAAGGAGAAAAAAACATCAGATTCATCAGTTTGAGGAGACGACAACAACAACAACAACTGCAAGAGGCAGGCACTGTCTAAAGGGGAAATCGGGCGCAACATTTTATCTCTCCTGCCCGTTCAATTGCATCAAATATCGTATCACATTCATGAAGAAGAAACAGGAGACTTGGACGCATCCACTTTGTACTCAGCCCGCCGCATGATATCCTGCACGGGGCCAAGCAGCCTCTTGAACCCATCTCGGCCGAGCCGCGCCACCTTGACTTCGGTCTTGGTGACGATGCTCGCCGCGCGAGGCTTGTCGTCCAAGAGCGCCAACTCCCCAAAGTAATCCCCTCGGCTGTACGACTTGACCGGACCCTCGACGCCATTCTTGCGCGCCTCGGCCTCGCCAGACTCTAAGAGATAGAAGGCGTCGCCGGGATCGCCTTCTTGAATAATGGTCGAATTGGCGGGGTACTTGATCGTGTCCAGTGCGTCGGCGATCTTGGCGCGCTCGTACGGCTTCAGCGAGGAGAGCAGCGGCACTTCCTCTAAAAACGCTTCGTACATGCGGCGCCGCTGGAATGCCGAGTCCATCAGGATGCGCCGGAAGGTGATGCGGTCCAGCGCCCACAGGGTGCTCTTTGCATCTGTTGACACCACGGTCGCGGCGCGCGGGGCGTTGTACATCAGCGCCAGTTCGCCAAAAGAGCCTCCCGGTCCGGTCGAGCCGACTTTATTGCCTAGGCCATCGGGACCAGGCTGCACAGAGCCAGACGGGTGAATGTAGATGTCAAAGTTGCCGTTTTCCACCACGTAGAAGTAATCCCCGGCATCGCCTTGCGCGATCACTTTGATATCCTTGGCCGGAATGGGCTTCTCGACAAGCGCATCCAGGACCGTCTTGAATTGATCATCGTCGAGATGTGCGAACAGGAAATTCCCACTGACGGCGGTTTTGAGCCGCGCCAGCTGCTCGTCCGTCTTGGGGTGGTGCGGAGGCGTCCAGCTGTCCGCACCGGCGGAGGTGGGATTTAACGACTCCGCAGACACAGAGGTCCGTCGTCCCAGCGCGTAATTGTTGGGAAATCCGTGCTGCAGCGCGGCACCTGTCGGGATACCGGGTTGATCACCGTCTCCGCCGTGACTGCCCTCCCCGGTGCCGGACTCGAAGGGGCTCCGACCAAACAACGAACCACCGCTACCGCCGCCTCCTTGTGACTCTTGCTCTGCCGCACCAGGTCCTTCGCGATAGGCAGTTTCCGTCGGGGCACCGGCGTTGGTCTTGCGAAAAGTGACATCGGTTGGTGACGTCACCTCGAATTCTTCCTCCTCGGAGATCTTTTGGATGCCCGGCGACTTGTCCGTCTTGCCCGTGCTGAGGAAGGGGTTGGTACCCGGGAATGAGTTGTGTGCCATGACTGTGTCGACGCTGGGGCCGCTGGGGCCGCGACTCCGGCCGCACTGGGGCTAAGCGGAAGTGGGATTGGACAGGAGGCCGTGTGGGATGAAGGCCTGACGGAGGTTCTGGTGAGGGGGGTCAGACTTGTCAGAATGGGAACTGAGATGCAAGGGGGAAGAGAGTTTAATAGTAAAGAAGGGAAGAAGGTAGGCAGAGGGAATAAATTGGGGCAAGACAAAGATCAGGAGGGGTTTCTCCAGATCCGAGTGGGGATTGGCAGGGTGTCGTGTTAGTGCGGGATGGGAGTCTGCATGCAAGACATGCTCTCGGTCTTTCTCAAATGAAGGGAAACGAGGAATACCTACATTTGGGTATCCTGGGGTGACGTGTGGGTGGAAGGAAGAATGCAGGTGGGGAGAGATGGAAGAAGAAGAAGAAGAAGAAGAAGAAGAAGAAGAACAGCCCCAGACAAGCGAGGTAACTAAAATGGTGCCCGAGAAGGAAAGAAGGAAGGCAGGGAGGGGTTTGTGGTCTGAGCTTGGGCGATCATAGTGTGTCCATCTTCTGTTCTAGTCTTCAGTTACTAGGGTTTCCCGTGGGCTATTAGGTGATCGACGTCACTATCCCCATCCGACGGAGACACCGGATGTGTCGAGGGGTTCCAGGTGTCTTCTAGAAACCCACTATCGCCACCCGGAGGTGTCTTGAAGTCATCCACTGCTCCTTTCGGGGTTGACCTAGCTGATCGAATTCCTTGTAGACAACAATTCAATCCTCAGGGCCCGCCACCTCGTCGATCCCCGTTCCACGGTCCATGGATTCGACAGCTCCAATTCCGCGCGAAACCAGTCAACAAAATTAAAATATATATCTATCTATGTATCCGATAGTCGTCGGAGTAGTAATCGTCAAAAGTAACTAAAGCAAGTGTAGTAGTGGAAGTAAAGACTTGGTCTGTGTTCCCCCCACCGATGTGACTAGGCCCGCCGCTCGAACTCTGCCCAGCCTCACTCACTCACTTTTTTCTCCCTTTTCCCTCTCATCCCTTCCTTCACCCCCTTCCCACACCTGACAGCAATGGGAACCTTCACCTTCCAATGGTGAGTGTGTGCGACCGGCAGACTCCCCCGCCGGTGCCACGGCAGATTGCGTGCTGACCGCAGGCTGCAGGCCCTACAATGCGAACGAGGTGTATGTCACCGGCACCTTCGATGACTGGGGCAAAACCGTCCAGCTCGACCGGGTGGGCGACATTTTCCTGAAAGAAGTGTCGCTGCCTGCCACAAGCGACAAGATCCAATACAAGGTGATTACTATTTTTTGGGTTTAGGCATAACCGCCTGCTCCATGACGCATCGCCCTGACGTCACTGTCCGCCTTTTTTGATATGAATAAAGAGAGGGGTGGCTGACTTGTTCCTCTTTCCCCAGTTTGTTGTCGACGGCACCTGGACTACAGACAGCCGTGTACGTGAAGAGACCGACGAACACAACAACGTCAATAACGTGCTTCTGCCCAACGAGATCACCCCCGAACCCACCACCATGTCCGGCGTCACCCCGGATTCCACCACCGCCGCACTCGCGGCCGCCGTTCCCAAGGAGGAGGCGAATGGCAGCTTGCCGGGCACCTTTCCCGACACCCCAGGACAGGAGTCTGAGCAAATGCTCTCCGTGAATCCCATCCCGGCCTCCGGCGGCATTGGCAATCCCGTCAAGCTGAACCCTGGCGAAAAGGTCCCCGACCCTGGCTCGATCAATGACAACACCGTCCACTCGACCGTCAAGCTCGACAAGGAGTCCTATGAAAAGGGCGACAGCGTGCCGCTGGCCAGCGCGGGCTCCCAGAACCCCACCACCGATACTGCTGGGTCGAGCGCCTTCTCCGTGCCCCCCGTGTCGAAGAACACCATCCCGGAATCTAGTCTGCCGATGGGTGGTGGGCCCGCTCAGCGCGCCGCAGCCACCGATATGACTGATCCCGGTTACACCATCCAGTCAGCTGCGCCAAACTCCACCACAGCTGCGCTGGCAGCCAACGTCCCCCTGGAGAAGACGACCAACGGCGATCCTGCTCCGGTCAGCGAAGTCCCGCAGATAGTGAAGGACTCGATCGCCGAAGCCCACCAGGACCCTGAGGCGGCTGCCAACCAGAGCGCCGTGGAAGAGAAGAAGGACATGGAGCAGGAGCTGCATAAGAAAGTGAGCGTGGAGGAATCAGCCGGCACTCCGGCACCCACCGTCTCCGCAACTACCCAGCCCACCGCGCCCGGCCACTTAACGGTGGCATCCACGGGGTTCGACTCCGCCGATGTGTCTCCGAACACGACTCCACCCCCCGGCCGGGCCACTGCTGCGGACGCGGCGCCTCCGACCTCTGTCCCCGTCGCTGATTCCAAGGCCGCTGTGTCGGGCGTGGGCCAGGAGCAGATCCAGCCTCCATCTGGACCCACCGTGACCACCGGCGTTGCCTCCGCGCCGACGACGGAGACCACCACGCCCAAGGAGACCCAGGCTCCGGCGCAGCAATCGGCTACCACTGAAGACACGGCTGCCGTCTCGGCCGATGCTAAGGAAGAGAAGAAGAAGAAGCGCCTGAGCGGGTTCTTCAGCAAGATCAAGGAAAAGCTGAAATAATCATCTTACTAGAGGGTGTTGTTGTGTTTTCGTCGTCTCGTCTCGCTTTGTCTCTTCGCTTGGTTTCTTCGCTTCGTTTCTGCGCTTCGTTTGTGAACGCTTCTGTTTGTTGAACATGGATACCTCATTCTGCACACTACACACACCGCTGCTTCCTTGTATTGTTTTCCGTTTCCTGCCAGCCTTGTCGTCGTCGTGTGTTTTGTCTATCCCCCAGGAGACTAGGTTAGTAATGGGCTTACGATCTTACTGGAAAAGAACCCGTGTCCCGTTTTATAGCTTGGTATAATTCACGTCCATTCCTTGCCTTGTTCTTTTTGACTCGTAGATATAATGCCCACCGTCGCCCCGACAAGCCGAATGTTACAAACCCCGTAGGAATGAATGCACAGAAGCGAGGTGACAAGTATTTTGATCTGTAGCGTATAGTTACAGATAGTAGATTCCAGATGACGGAATGACGTGGATCTTGGGCCCATAACTTAATTTCGAGGCCTCAGGTAGGAAAATATAGATGCAACACGATTATATTCTTATTGTTCTATTCCCTTTTTAAAATGAGGAGCTGCGAATTTCCTGTTCCGGTTAATTTTGCCTTTTGGGTTTGGCGCTTCTCCCTCCGTAGCGTTGACACATGTTGGTCATGCAATGACAAGCTACGCCGCAAAAGAGGCCACGGGTTTGTCCACTTAGATTAGTGAATTTCCACGCACCTGCTTGACCGCTATGAAGACCTAACTGCCCCCCAGATTCTACCTTTTTTGCCTTCGACCCAATTTTTCTTCACTTATCAGCAAATCATAATTCCAGCTGGGATGTCTTATTATTCGCTCGAGGATACGATCAATCGTTTTTTTACTGGCTGCACTGTCACGCGGGAGGAATGTGACCGGACTGCTGCTGAGATTACTGGTGAAGCTGTGGAGCCAGTTCGGCTTCAAGGAGCGTTCAGTTACACTGTATCAGCTGGGAAGCTCCTTGTACAATTTCGTGTTTCCGAGTCTCTCTTGGATACAGAAAGGCTGAATCTCGCTCGGAAGATCTATGGCAACGTTGTGCCCGCTTGTGTCAGTAGAGGTTTTATGGGACCATCGCCTTCGCTCGCTATCTATGTGATGGATAAGGCTCCCGGAATAACATACATCGAAGCGCCTTTAACAACACTATATTGTACCTCATGGCAAGAACAAACAGTGTCGGATTTTGCAAGGTAATTTCAATGTAGCTATGCTGTGGAACCACAACTAATCTTGCTAGATTTTTTGCCAATTCATGGGTGAACCGGCTAGCGGAGCCTCCATCGGTCCGATCAGTCTTTAGCAGATCTTCAAAACAAGCTTGATATACTTTTGCGGCAGCTTCCTTCTCGTTTCACCCGCATTATCTCCAAGCTTCGCAAAGAACTCCCCACAATTTTTGTTCCCACGTATCCATTGGCTCTAACTCACGCTGACCTGTGTGAGATGAATATCATCGTCAATCCTAAAGCAGGTGGTATCAATGGGGTTGTTGATTGGGCCGAAGCAAGAGTTTTGCCATTTGGAATGTCTCTCTGGGGATTTCGGAACATGCTTGGTATTATGAACTCAAGTGGTTGACACTACCACGAGAATTCTTCCAGGCTGGAAGACCTTTTCTGGGATACGTTCCATAGACATGCGGCAAATATTTCCGATGGTGAAAAAAGTGCCATAAAAATTGCGGAACGGACTGGATTGGTTCTTCGTTATGGTTTCACTTGGAAAGATGGAATTTTTGAAAGGCCTGTGAATGAGCAGGATTCTACTATTAGATATTTGGACGCATTTTTACACCACTTGGAGGATTGAGCATGAAAAACCTCTCTTTGGAGTTCTAGCCTACGCCAGCATTCGTAGCATTGGAAAGAAGGGTCATTGGGTAGCCCGGGAAAAGAATGTATTTAGTTAACAGACTGTCATCTGGATAAAGAAGGCAAATGCACTCAAATAAAAGAAAGACGTACTGGAGCATGGCCTGCAGAAAGTGACAGCTCTATATTTGGCTTACTATCGACTCTGTTACCTTGGTTATATTGCCTTTATACTGCCTCTTTACGACATAGGTTTGAATAGAACGAGCAACTGGCAAGTTCTCTGACAAGTTTACATGTAACATGTTCAGTACACCGCCCTTCTTTATCAAATGTCCGGTGCACGGACGCCAGCAGGCAGATTGTATTCCGTGGCGGCGTGTTGCGGAGGTCTAATATAGCTATCATCGGACACGGGATAATAAGAGTCGGAGCGATGAAACTTACATCGAGCACTACAAGGTGATCGTGTCTGAATGGGAGAGGATCGTGGGCAAAAAAGGCGAGAAGAGTCTTCGCACATTGTGGGAGATAGGAGCGTCAACAGCTTCGCTTGAAGATAGCATTTGTACGGCATAAGCTTAGCACTATTTTTATTGTAGCTTCCATACTGACTTTTCGCTGCGCTACTTTTGTCGGCTCTCAGACCTGACTTTAACAACAATTTTGAAATTTAGGTTGGGGAAGAACAACAGTGGCTGAAGACAATGAGCCAAGTTCCAAGACACTCGCTGTACAAGGGGGGAGGATTGTATTGAGTTGCTTAAAGAACTCTATCTAACTAAGCATCTACTAAAGAATTGGAATGAACAAGAAAATCGTTCGTAAATTAATCATATTTGCATTCTAGAAGACTGAGAGCATGATATGAATGTATATACTCGTGCTCAGTAAGAGCGGCGCTTATGGCCGCCACCCCTTCTATGAAAGTCATATACTAAAATCGTTCGAGAACGAAAACGTTCAACACTATAGGAGCATCGCAAACATTGATAGATTTCGAGTAAGCTGTCGCACCCGACGCTGTGACACAGTTTGTGTCTACGCGGTGGAAGCCCAAAGCACTCGTCGAGGGAGTAGAGTTGTACATTTATTGTGCGGCTAAGGATTCAGGGGTCGGAGTAGCAGCTGAAACTGCAGGTCCATTGTCATTGTCACCCTGCACAAACTCCTCACTAGGCTGGGACTCGTCATCTCGGCGGCCAATGTGCATGATATCGTAGGCCGACGTCCAAGCTGCGGCGGAGGCGGAGTAAGATGAAGATAACGATGCGGCGGACTCCGATGATGATTTGGAGGCTTCAAGTTCTGAAAGGGACGACTGGACCTCTGCAGCCACATCGGTTGTAGTAGTAGGAGCTTCAGTAGGTGAGGGCATAAGCGCCGAAGTAGGCGGAACTGTCACCGTAACTGTAACAAGAGACGAAGGCGTACGTGAGGGCGTATACGAAGGAGTTTGAGAATAAGGATTCACACCAGGTGCTCCTGCTATATATGGACCAAGACCATATCCGCCATACTGGTTAAGGTGCTGGGACGGAGCTGGAATTGGCGTCTCCTCAGCATATTGGGATTCATCATCTCGGCGGCCAATGTGCATTATATCGTAGGCTGATGTCCAAGCTGCGGCGGAAGCGGAGTAAGACGAAGATAACGATGCGGCGGACTCCGATGATGATTTGGAGGCTTCAAGTTCTGAAAGGGACGACTGGACCTCTGCAGCCACATCGGTTGTAGTAGTGGGCCCTTCAGTAGGTGAGGACATAGGCGTGAAAGTAGGCGTAACCGTAACCATAGACGAAGGCGTACGCGAAGGAGAATAAGGATAAGGATTCACACCAGGTACTCCAGCTAGATACGGACCAAGACCATATCCGCCATACTGGTTAAGTTGCTGGGACGGAACTGCAATTGGCGACTCCTCAACACCACCAGGGTTGGAATCCCAAGCGCTCAGCTGGGCGGGCAAGGCCATAGCAGAGCCGAAAAGTCCGGCGACCACGATTCCGGTGTATCTCATTGTGAGAGGAATAATGGAGAAAAAAAGTAAAAGGAAAGGATTTGAGAATCAAAACAAAATCAAGTTCTCTATAACGACTATGTTACTATGTCCAGGCCTGCCCGAGGCAATTGAACATGAACACAGAAGAAGGAAGTGGGCTGCTGCTGAATGAATTCCATTGCAAGCTGTGCAGGCGGGCATCTTTATAGACGTGGTCGCGCAACTCCTCGATTCTGTCCGATGGTGAAGGATGCTGATAGCCGGGGCTATGACTTCAAGAACGGTTCGCCCCCGGATCCGCACCAATCTTCGCCACGGGGCCTACTCTTAACCACAAATAATGAATATCAATTGCAGTACTTAGTAAGTTTTTCTGCAATAGGTATCTTCTGGTTAGCACCATCCTTCAGTAGCAGTCCATTTAGTGAAATCTCGGGGGAGTTGCATGTAGATCTAGAAATGCATCTATCATACCCAATATTGATATAGACGTTATGTTCTGAGACTATCGGAAACTTGAACTGGGCCAGGGGGAAAGCGACTGGGGTTTGCCATCGCCCCGGAACGAAGGCGATGTTCATCGCATGGTTTAAGGTTGTATGGTACATGCAGTCCTGTGGGCCCCCTATTGTTGGCTGCTGAAACGGCTGGCCCCTGACCTTAGTCATCCGCCCCTTGGACGATCAGGGCCAGTATGTATGGATATGTATGGAGCCCCGTATGGATCTCCCCTGCAAGAGGCTAAAGTTGAGGGCCGATGGCAAGAAGGACCCGAAGCTCCACTAATCTATTCGTATCCGTCCAAGGGTGGTGTCTTGTGGAGTAGGTAATCTTCCTCCGGGATTCTTCTACGTCCACATGGAACAGGGGATACAGCCTCATGGATAGTTACTTGCTCGCCACACAACTCGAGTTGGTGCCAGGGTGCTTCTGCCAGAGAAAACTAAAATAGAATCAGGAGGATTTCTGTTGGGATCAACCCTTCCGACGGACCCTTGAACCAGATACTCGGACTCGCCTGAATCTTAACTTCAGCTTCGTGCCTCTCGAACAGGCAAATTTCCTTCAGATCTCCATTTCCTTGGCAACACGATCCTCATTGATATCAGCGGAATCGGAGGAATGACGCACGAGTGGCGTGCTGCGAAGCTCCAAGATGAGATCTCGCCTTTTGACCTTCCAGGCACGAGGATTGAACGACACGGGGCGTGTGGGAAGCTTTCAGCTACTATTGCCTCAGGCGCTGGAAACAGTACCTTCGCTACAGACTACTGAGCCTGGCATGATTTCACTAGATTAATGACATTTGTATGTGAATCTAGGTAGTCTTCAATCCATTTTCCCCAACCCCAGGCTATATACAAGCGCCTCACCCCGGCCCGTCAAATTGGTATTGCATTACTGACTTGTCCGTTCAGGTGCACAGGGAATCCCAGCAAACTAGTGACCATAACCACATCAGCTCTCCATTTCACACAAACGAGGCGGGGAAACTGAGATAGACATACTCTTTTCCCGTCTTGGTCAAGCCGCACCCACAGAAGATTGAAGCGGGCCAGCAGACCACCTGTTCATCATTTAACTAGACACGAGCTAAAGGAATATCTGCCTCACTTACCGCAGCCACAACAGTGCTGAGGAATCCTACAGAGCAGGAGAAGGTTAGCAGTTAATATTGTAGCAAGAATCGACTCACCTAGCGTCGGCCCAACCACCTTACAGTGGCATGGATTCTGATCCGTGCCGCATTGGAAGCAGATGGGGAGGATGGGGAAGAAGGGCATATCGCACATATCGCGAGTAGTTTCTAGCTGTAGACAGGAAGATAGTAATGATTACAATGTGGTCTTTCCCAGCTGTACGGTGGTTAGTTATGGATTCTATCATGATGACGCAGAGGACCCGATCGGGTCGCGGATCGCCGGATGTAGAGATCTGTTGATACCACAGAGGCTATACATCCATAAATCTTTCTTTTTCACTCTCAGTTTTTGATTCTTCTATTCACAGACCATTGTTTTGATAAAACCATGTAGTTAAAGCAGTCCAGAGGATAGTTCGACCGACTTACATAACCCCTTAGTCACTGCTCCGCTCGCGTGATGCGAAGTACGTCGTGATTCGCCCAGTGGGGCACAGAACCGTTGGATGAGCTGAAACCCCTGAACAATTTCTGGGGCGGGTCATTGTTTCCGATCAGCTGCGACAACTGATTCTTCCTCCACACTCCCGTCACAGACACAGACAGACCCCAAAATGGCCAAACACAACATCCTCCCCCTCATCATCCTCTTCGTCGTGGTCGGTATCCTCGCCGCAGTGGGGTATGTCGCCTACACGATCGCCCAGGGCGTGAGCAAGACGACCCGCGAGAAGATGGAGCGCAAGAATATCGCCATCACGAAGGATGGAATGAAGGTGCAGGTCAAGGAGATTAATGACGAGGAGTACAAGGATACTACGCAGAGGTGAGCCATACAACGCAGAAGGGAAAGAAAGAGTGATGACTGACTATGGTGATTGTAGTGTCCTCGTCAACATGTGGAACCACACCTCATTCCCTGCGTACAAGTCTCGGCTGTGGGATATGTCGGGCAAGGATGAGAAGGTGAAGAAGGGTGCTGAGAAGCGGAAGCCGTGAGTTTTGTGTTCTTCTTCAAATGTGGATGGATCTATGGCTGACTCGCTTCTCTTCCGTTAGGTATGCCAAATGAGCGATTTCTTTACGGGCGGAATCATGGACAGGCTGAGTTGGGAACTCATCCCGGTTTACCTACCACTGCTCCGTACCGTCCGTACATATGCACATACTATTTCTGCCTCTGCTTGTGGGTAGAAACACCACCCTTGATGCCCGTCTCCGATGTACGATAATGGCTTTATGTCTTGATACAATTCATCACCACCCGCACCGAGCTATCCCTTGGATGTGGCACTCCAGATCCTGTTGGGTGCCGGGATCCTTCCTATGTGCGGTTCTTGATTTCTTCTCGTCTTTTACTACCCAGTGGGTTTTCGCATGCGTCATACAGCTCCGTTGCTGCACATCTTTTTTTACGCAATTTGATCTGATCCTGGAGAAATGGGTGGTTCCAGTGCAATATAATGCGATTGATGTCTTCTTTTTCCGAAAAGAAAATGTAAAGGAAATAAGCAAACACCTCAATTAATATCTCCAACGCTGTAAAGCACCGAACGCTGGCCGTCAAGGGGAGGGTTCTCTGTTGCCGAAGCAGCCTCTTGACTCGGTATTCGAGCGACCAGGTAGATCCTCCGCAATAGAGCTAGGTTGATGCGGATCCGAAGATCATGGCTGTCAGGCGATGTTCCAGGAAATTCGCGAGCAGGTGGTGAGGGCCAAACTCATTGCCTACAAAGTAAAGTCCGCCCTTCGGAGCGTCACGGCTAGACCACATAAAGCGCGTTGATGGAATCACGACTCCGAGTGAGGAGGAAAACCTCTTTAAGGACTTATGCTAAATTTCATCCTTCCGTAGGTATGGATATAGACAACGGAAACCATAAGATTTCAAATAGAAACTTGGAGAACCTATTAATACCGGAACCTTACAAATCCTGGATTTGCTCACATCGTAGGATGGTCACTAGAATTCATCAGTTCGCATTGCCGGTCGATATAAGATCATACTGTAGTCGAAACACTATCCACTTGATGGTTCGCGTTTCATATGCCCCCAAATGAAAAAAGAAAGAAGAAAAAGTGAAAAAGTCTTTACACTTAGAAGAAGATAGACTTAATTTCATTCTGAGTACAAGTAGGCCTGAAATCTGCTTGCTGGAGTCGCCAGAAAGGATTAGATAGAGTCTAGTGACTTGGGGAGTTCCTGGTTCCATCTCTGTATCACTGGCCGGTCCCTTTCTCTTTGGCTGCCTCTTCCTGCATCTGCTTGCGTTTCTCTGCCATCATCTGGGCGGCTGATTCGAGGACTGGTCTTACTTGCTCCTTATTGACCATGCGGTCCAACCAATCCTTTGCGTGAGGGAACTCTTCGGGATTGAACCCGTCCTCGACAAAACCCTCGTGTGCCTGTTTCTGCCAAGGGATGAATGACAGGTCTGCGTACGATAGCTTATTGCCCACCAGCCAAGGTCCCTCCCCAATATCTCCCTGATAGGTTTCCTTTTGTTGCGCGAGCCACTTGTCAAGTACGCCCGTGACACGCTTTGCCTCGTTCACGTAGCGCTCTATCGCGCTAGGCAGCTTCTCCGGGTGAGCTTTCTTGAACCAGTAGGCCTGTCCGTAATAGGGACCCTGACCTGAAACTTGCAGGTAGAGGAATGAACGTGCTAGCTGAGCCTCTGCGCTAAGCGGCGGGAAGCTGAGTTTGCGGGGTTCAGTCGTGTCGTAGCGCTCTATCAGATACTCAATGATAGCACCCGACTCCCAGATGGTCAAGTCGGTGTTGGGATCGTAAATTGACGGGAGACGTCCGTTGGGGTTAATGCGCTCATGCTCGGGGCTCTTGACTTCGTTGAAGGCGATGAAAACTTTTTCGAAAGGCAGCTCGAGCAACGTGAGAATAATTGCGATCTTTAGCGGGTTGGGACCAAGGTGCCCGCCGTAGAGCTTGATGGGTTTTATTGAAAGATCGGCCATTATTCAGGTATGGTGACACCAAGGCTGAAAATCCAAGCTTGTCTAAGCTATATCCAATCCAAGATTTGAACGCAATAACCCACCGGCCTTTTATAGAAGGCCGGCAAAGGCATCACGTGCAGCGTCTCCTATCTGGTCAGTTGATTGATTATTTGCCCTCAAGAGCGCCGAGACTGACAAATCCTCGGGGTTCGGGGTATCGAGACTGACAAAGCTTCGGACCAATTGCGGACGACCACCCCACAACGCCACCCACCCGTTGATAAGGCGACTGCAGTACAGAGGGGCGTGTCGAGAGTCGATGCAAGCAGTAACTAAGCGCCTCTAAGTGGCCGCATGGTCACGACTAACGTATATTGAATAAGTCAGGTTGCTTTTCACGCCTTTATCCCACAGATACGACAACGTACTCATGATGGACTCTCAGAGGATTCTTGTCCTCGGGGCAACAGGTATGCACCGTACTTTCTGTTATTTTGCAGACGTACTTGAAGCTAGCATGATAAACGTATAGGCTAACTATTTGCATTAGGTGGCTCAGGCCTCGCCTTTGTTGAACAGGCCCTTTCGCTTCCAAACCCACCTCACCTGACGCTCTACGTCCGCACGCCTTCCAAGTTGCCATCAGAGTTCCAATCTCAGCCTGGTATCTCTATTGTTGTTGGCGGTCTCTCTGACTTTGAGACCCTCGACTCTGTCATGAAATCACAATCAATCACGACCGTTGTCTCGTTCCTAGGCGCTTATTTTTCGGCCTCTGCTATCATCTTCCGTCCCAAGGAAACCCCAATTGCAGATTCGTTCCCGACCATCATTCGTGCTATGAAAGCGAATAATGTCTCACGGCTAATCGTCTTGTCGACGGCTTCCTTCTGGATCACTGGGAAGGATATTTCCACATGGGGCCTGTCTATTTTCGGCGTGATGCCCAAAATTTTCGTACCTCAAGGAGATGCAGAGATGGTGCGAATCGCAGAAGTAGTGAGCCGAGACGCCGCCGAACAGGACTGGACTATATTCCGAGTTCCCCATCTGACAGATGGACCTTCAGACCTCCCTGTCTGGGCGGGATACGCAGGGCCGGGACACCGTGGCGGTTTGAATCTCTCTCGGAGAAGCCTTGCGATGTGGGTACTGAATGAAATCTCGGAGCCAAAATGGATCCGCCAAGCACCTTTCTTGGGAAATTATTAGGTCTTCTTTTTGTATATTTTTTTCATCTCTAATTGAATTTGACGATTTGTTCCTGACGAGATGCGCCATCGTTCTCTGGGCGGGGGTAGGCCACATTGGATGCAAGAGTATCATGATACTGATTATTTTCCACAGCTCGCCCCAATGGCCGTTTCGAGATCTGTGTGCCCATAAAGAATAGTGGCGTGCGAGCGGAGCACGTACTCTGTACCCAGTTTGCCATCAGGCAGGATACTCGTCGCCATTTCGACCCAATAATCCAAAATCTGGGGAGGGAAAATCTGCGCGTAGAACTGGCGGAGATTGTCCTTTTCCACGGGTCGCACCTCGACTTCCTTTCCAAGGGCTCGAGTAAATGCCGCTTGTACGTCAAGCGGGCTATACTTTCGAGGACCGTGGAGTTCAACTATATATGGTTTTCTCGACAAGGACTCTTTGTTGGTTAGCTGCTCCGCAAGAGTAGCGCCAATGTCTGAGATAGCGACCATAGGAATCTTGTAGTCTACGGGCGTGATCGTCGAAAAGAAAAATGGATTTGGGCCCTTCAGAGTGTCGAGGTTCATAGTCCAGTTCTCCATGAAGAATGCGCAGCGGACAAAGATGATGTTTTGCACTTTTGTGTCGCGTAGTACTTCCTCGGCTTTGTTGTTTGTCTTGATTTCGCCCTGAGTTCAGGATTAGTAGAGAAGTATCAGCTCTAGGGTCTGGATGTACTTACAACACCCTCGCTGAATTCAGCCCCGCCGCTGCTGAGCAGAACAAGTCTCTTGACATTACCGGCCGTCTCAATGGCACTTTTGATGTTTGATGAAACTTTCTCGGCATGTTCAATTAAATCTCGACCGTCGTAGGCGGGCGGTATAATGGCTAGAACAGTATCAGACCCCGTCAAGTTGAGTGAATTCTCATTTGAGACATCGCCTTCGATGGCAGAGAAATTGGCTTGTGTAGAAAATTCAGCTGGGACTTTGGAAAGATCCCTATAAATTCCACGAATCTGCACAGGCTTGCCGAGTAGCGAACTGATGGTTGCTGCACCTGTCTTTGTGCTCGCTGGTACAACTGTGATCTGCATTGTTGGCTTGACTTATTCAATATAGAGCCACAGTCAAACTGAATGGGTCTATATGTACGTAAATGCGGCAATAAATGTGGTCGCATTTGTAAACTCGTATTATGCTGACGTCACATGCATCCGGAACGGGAGGGCATACAGTTCGTATACGAAGACACTTATCTAACAGCAATAACACGAGAACCAAGGATAATACAGGCGACAAATTATAACAGCTAAGGCTCAGTCCTGACTTTTAACCCAAGGGATTTCCAGCCTAGGTAAGGATCGTTGGACAACTGAACATAGAACATTGGCTTGCTGACGTACGTCGTTGTCGATCGATCTTAAGGGATCCCCGTCCGCTCGCGGTACGCAACCATTTGGCTGGTCGCGGTCAGCGTTGTTCTAGAACGGACCCCAAAATGGACAAAAGTGACAGCGTGCTAGACTAATAAGAGTTGACTTTCGCAGGTAAGGGCCGAGTGTAGGCCAGAAGCGCTTAGACTTCCACCTGATGAGTGAACTACTGGTAGTTGTTATTCTTCGCATTGAAGTAAGAGATGAGAAAACGGAAGTTAAGGAAACGACGTCGTGGGCGGTTTTCAGTCAAGAACTTAGTTCCTTAGTCGATGTGCTATCACATTATCAATGATTATTTGAATGATATGATCTTCATGAAAACTGACCTTGAATCTGATATCTCCACCCACATTCAACGGTAGGCCTATTAGATTCCCGGCAGAGTCGGAATCACGAGACCCCCGATGAGGCGCCTCGCCTCAGCGGTCAGAGGCGCAGTGACGATCTGGATCTGTTGCTGTTGAGTAGAGGGTCGAATTTCGGCGCTCCAGACGTTCTTGTCGGCCACGCTCCAACCGATGTGCAGGCTGTTCGGGATATGAGCGAACGATCCTGGGTACTGCCGAGGCAGCGCGTTGAACATGTTCACGGCGTTATGCGTCTGTGCCCATCTAGGGTCAACCGTCGCGCGAGGCTTGAGGCTGGTCTGAGTTGCCGCGCAAACGCAGACCGGGTGATGACTGGGTACAACCCACATGCAGAATTCGATTCAATCACAATTGAGGGTTGATATAGAAGCAGTCCTGATATGACAATCACTGGGACACTCGACTGCCAGACTGTTTTGTGCTGCGTGAGAGTGATTGGCTTAACACCCCACCGGTTTCAATAAGGCCAGCCAGGATATATATAGTCTTGTCATGCCAATCCAATCTCGATCATAAGCCAGAACATCGACAATAATGGACCCACACACTTATGCCGCTGATAACATGCATCTCTTCGCAGTTGCAAAGCATCAATATAAACAAGCCGTCACGTAAATCTGTGGGCACTTGCTGTGTAGCAGAGTAGAGTGTTAGTATAGACTTCGATGTAGACTGCTTCAGCGGAACAAACTTTTCAGTACCCGAGTTCGCTCAGCGTGGATGCGGACATATAAAAGGATGAAGGTGAGAGGGCTGCTATTGCGGGAGGTGGAAGAGGAAAGAGGAAGAGGAGAGGTGGAAGGGTTTATATTGTCGTGGTGGTCCGCAAAAAAGGAGGCATGCAAACATTGCACCCTCTACAGTTTAGATCTACTAGACAAACAAGCGGGAAACAAAAAAGCAAACAGAGAAAGAGAAATGCTCATCGAATTCCAAGTTCCCAATGCACCACATAAACAGTTCAAAACTCCCAACGACCTGCATACCAGACACGAAATGTAGGGGGATCTCATGGCAAAAGGAAAAACGCTGAGAAAAGACAGAGAAAAGAAACAGAATCCATCACGCAAGCAACTGGCCACCACCCGAGCTCTCGCGGCGTTTCAGCAGCTCGCTCTTCGCCCGTTTCAACCCCTCGCCCAGCTTCTTCGTCCGTCTCCATTCCTGGCCCATCCGCTTCATGCGCACAGCGGCGACTACTAGTGAAATGGCCGTCCTCAGTTTCCGACGCGGCGTGCGGCCTTGCTTGCGGTCGCGAGCTTGAACGCCCATATCAGTGATCATGCGGAGATCGGCCTCGTTGCTGTCATATCATATTAGTCTAGTTTGGAAATATGCCGAGCAGGAAAAAGCATACCATGCAACTCGCACACGCTCGCCCAGCTCCATCAGACCCTTACTCCAGGCCAGGTCGCGACGGAACTTCTCCTCGCGTTGCAGACGCGCACGAAGCCAAATGATCTCTTTGCCCAGACCGCGCATTTCCTTCTCGTGTCTGGACTTGCTGGGAGTGGAGTTTTTGGCTACAACCTCATCGTAGCGTAGTTGAAGAGCTTCCAACTCCTTGGCTGCGGTTTCGGCCTTGCGGACACAGAAAGCTCGTTCCTCACGAATCCGGCGAACTTGAGTCTTCAGCTCGTTCAGGCGTGCATCCCGTTCGGACACCTGTAGTGCCATAGCTTCAGCCTCGAGGGTTGACGATTTCAGCAGTTCGTGAAGATCTTTCTGGTCCTCCTCTTTCATGGCGGCGCGTTCCAAATCCCGGTTCTTGGACTTGACGTCCTTGAGGGCCCGGTGTGCCTCGGAAAGCTTCTTCCTGAGACTCCGCAGTTCCTCGTGAAGCTTGTCAGACGGTGAGTGCTGCGGGGAGTGCGAGTCGTATTTGTTCATCAATGCACTATGGAGGTCCTTCTCCAGCTCTGCGACACGCGACTTGAAGTCACGCGCTGAAGCCTTTTGTTCCGCTTCACGCTGGAGAAGAATCTTTTCGCGTTGTCGAGCGGCATCCAGACTGTGGCGGAGGAGAGAAAGGTCTGCATGTGACTGTTCATTGTCCGCCAGTGGTGGTGGCTGCTGCTCCAGAAGTGCTTCCAGTTCACGGACACGGCGCTCGAGGCGTTGTTTGGAGAGGATGAGTGCCCGATCCCCAGCTCCAGTGCGCAGTTTATCCTGAAGACGATCGATTTCAGCTGAAAGGCGACCCTCTTCCGCAGTAGCACGTTCAATCTCGGAGCCAAGCTGTTTCTCAAGTGTCTCCTTCGCCTGCACGAGCGCCGATTTGTCATCTTTCAGCCTCTTCAGCTCGCTTTCAAGGCGTGCTGTCGACTTCCGGAGGTCAAGCTTCTCACGATCAAACCGGATGGAATCGTCTGGATTCTGGGCCCGGTCGAGTTGAGCGTGGAGCTCGTCCCGTTCAGTCTCGATTTCGGCCACCGTCGTTCGGAGGTCATGCAGTTCGACATGAGCATTGGCAAGCTGATCACGGAGGGTTTGTCTGTCCGCAATTGCCTTGTGCAGTTGATTTTCCACATCAGAAGATCCTTTCTGTAGCCGGCCTTTGGCATACTCTTGCTCATCTGCCAGGCTTGTCTGCAGGACCACAATCTCATCCTCCAAAGCTTGTACTTTTTCTTTGAGAGATTGCTCCTCACGGTGAGATATCCGGAGCTCCTCCTTCGCGTTCAAGAGATCGGTTCGTTGCTCATCAATAATGCGTCTCTTGGATGTGAGATCATCCTCAAGATCCTTGATTTGACGGTTCAGGACGGTTTCTTCTCGCGTGTGGCGCTGCTTCTCGCTGTCGATAGCTTCCTGAAGGTGGAACTCTTTCCCTGAAAGTGTATGCTCTGCTTCCTGGAGCCTCTCGATGGTTCGCTTGTAGCCATTTGCCTGCTCTTCCGCTCGATCTTTCTGTGACTGCAGGGTTCGCTTCGTGCTTTCCCAGCGATCGTGCTCAAGCGCAAAGTGGCCTTCTTTGTCCTCGATTTCGTGCTGAAGGGCTTCAATCTCATCCTGCAGTCGGTCAACCTCCTCTTTGTGGTTCCTGCGGTTCTGTCCGTCGTGATCTTCTACAGCCTGCTGGAGTTCACGAATCTTGGCCTGCGAGCGGACAAGTTCGTGTTGCAACCCATCCATTTCATCCGTCAATGTTTGGTGGCGAGTCTGTAGGAGTTCCTTATCTTGTCTTGCGTGTTGTATTTCGTTGAGGGCCTCATGAAGCCGTGCAGTCAACTTCTCGCGCTCTTCTTGTGCAAAATCACGGTCGCGTTTGATGGAGTCAAGGTCGTCCAGCAATTTGCGGGTGTCGCCCTTCAACTCCTGCTGGATATTTTGGTGGCGTTCTTCCAGGCGAGTCACAGACTCTGTCTTGCTTTCAACGTCGGCCTTCAAGGAATCGTTTTCTTGTCGGAGGTTGCGCACTTCCTCTTCAAGATTGTCGGCTCTCTCCTCCAGCTGACGACTAAGCCCCTTGGTCGTGAAAGACTTGTTGGACATCTCGTCTTGCAACTCTCTCAGGTCATCTTCGGCGCGCTCCTTCTCTCTTTCTGCCAGTTGGGCCTCCTCCGCTGCCTCCTTGGCTTCTGTTTTGGCATGATCGAGGCTGTCCTGAAGTTCTTGCATCTGGTCCTTTGCGCGTTCTAGTTCGGCCTGAAGCTCCGAGACCGCACCATCCTCATTGCCGCCATCGCGCAAGTCGTCGAGCTTTTCATCACGCTCTTCGATGGCCCGATCTTTCTCTCTAAGCACGGCTTCGAGGTCTTCGATTTCATCTCGGAGCTTGTCGATCTCCTGAGATTGTTGGTCCTTGGCTTGTCGAAGTTCCTCTCGCAGCTCCTTCACATGGCTATCCCTCGATTCGACCTCTTCTCGTAGCATATCCATCTCGCGCTGAAATGTCTCGTCTGTTTGTTTCCGGCGGGCTTTCTCCCTCATCTCCATGAGCTGCAGACGGTAATCCTCGAGGTCGCGCTCTGCTTGCACGAGACTCTTCTTGTACCGTGATATATCTCGTTGCATCGTCAGACGCAGGACTTTGAGCTCGGTGTTTTCTTTCAATGCCGCGCTGTTGTATTCGGGACCGGCCTTTTCTAACTGCTCCTCCAGGTAGTGGATCTTCAACTTCAGGTTCCAATTGTCCTTGTCGAGTCTATCAATGATCTGTGACAGTTAGTCCCGGCCATTCGCGAGAGGAAGAGGTTGTAACCCACCCGCTCCTGCTCCTTCAGAGTCATCATATTCTGCCCATCACCCAGTAGTCCTGTCCCGTCGCGTCCTGGAAGTGTCGGGAGTGGTGTACTTTGCGCACTGCTGCTGACAGCCTGTGGAACAGGCGTGGCGTCATCGACTGTCGCGTCTTCCTCGTATATATCGGACATGTCCATCGCAGGGAGGCCCGGCGTGTGGCCGTTGCTCCGGTATCCCTCTCGCATGTAGGCCGGAGTCTTGGGCCCGTCCGTCCCCCGGGCTGTAGACACATTCTTGAGGTAATTGTTCTTGGTCGCGCTCTTCATCAACGGCGTGAACTCGCCCTTGGCTGGCGCTGCAGCGGGGAGATGCCTCAACGCGCTTCTTGTTGACCTGGGGCCCGTAGCGCGTGGAGTGTTGAGTTTAGTGCCCCCGGAGGCGCGTCGCCGGCCATTATCAAATCCCTTTAAAGCATCATTGTCCTTGGAAGGCGTGTGGAAGGAGTTTTCGACCGAGTCGAGCGCCGATAAATGCGTGCGCCCCGCGCTGCGGAAGCCGTTGGTCAGGTAAGTCGCGTTCCCGTCGATTTCGGTGCGTGGCGTGTCGATGTAGGGGAAGGCCATGGTTCGGAATAGCAAGGCAGGACAGGATCAACGCGCAAGCATCACCGCGAAAGTCGGGTGAGTTGGAGGAGAGAGTGAAATGGCATGGGCGTGTTTGGAGTGTTGATGTCTAGCCTGAATGGGACTAGCGCGGGAAAGTCACGGGTGGGCCATGCTCTGCTCTTTTTTTCTGCCGAACAATGAAGTCATGACAGACAATCATCACAAATCATGACCAGCGAGGAGGATATCGAGTGGTTCAAGTCGACTTTCCGTCCTATTCCCAAGCCAGAGCTGCCGGACGACTCGGTCGAATACTCCATCTATCATCTACCGTCCCCCGCCCCTACCGTTATCGATGAAGCCGCCGAGACCCGATCGCGGTTGCTGGAGGTGCAGCGCACGGCGGCTGAATTGACCAAGGAGCTACTCAAGGACTACATCTGGCAACGTGAAGGTTTCCACCTCGAGATTACCAAGGATGATGGTATGACAGATCTTTATTTGATGCTATTGTTCCCGCATACTGATAGCTCCGAAATCTAGGCATTACCTCCTTACAAGGACGCACGAACTATGGCGACTCGATTGAGGATGAGTGGGTGGTGGTATATATTCTTCGCGAACTGACGAAGCGCCACAAAGACATCTGGGTGAAAGTGGTGGACACCGATGGCCAGTTCCTGCTCATCGAAGCCGCGGGGATGCTCCCGGAATGGCTGGAGCCCGAGGTGGCGGATAACCGGGTGAGTATTCTTTTACTTTCTCCCATGGACGTCTGACTGACAGTTTCATCAGGTCTGGATCCATCAGGGAGAACTCAAGATCATTAAGCCCAAACAGGATTCGAAGAGAAAGATCACCGAAAAGCTGTCCCTCACGGAAGCGCGAAAAATCATACAGACTGAACCGGGTCGTTTCCTACGCTCAAATATGATCCAGGAGGAGGCGTTTTACCGACTGCGCAATTACCCTCAGCAGATCGCTGAAAACCTTCACTCTGCCATCGTGACGATCCCGCGCAGGGTGGCCTTCCTTCTGCATCAAAAACCGGCATATATTTCACCCGCTGTAGAAGCGTTCTATCTCCGCGACCCCATAGCTCTGCGGCCTCTGCGGGCCAAGGCTTCTGATCTCACCTTCGAGCCCAATGACTTGATCACTGCTAGCGTCCGCTTCACTCGGGTGGGATATGCGCAGCTGAAGAGTCAAGACTTTCCCGTCCCCAGCACATGGCAGGGTAAACTGCCTCCGGCAGAGGATGCAAAAGTATACGAGCGCGCAGAAACGGGCATGAAGCTTGCATGTGGGTTTGAAATGCTGCTCTACGACCCTAAGAACCAAGACATTGCCGCTGTTCGAGAAATGAAGCTCTTGTTGGAGGACTTGGAGACTGGCGATGAGAAAATGCCCACAGACGATGATATTGCGACTTGGGAACAGCGAGAAGATGACGAGAAATGGATGGACATCAACTTTGAAGATCTGGACCGAGAACTAAAAGGGCGAGGCAAGGACCAAGGGGATACTTCGACTGGCGGCAATTTTGGCGACGCCACCGCTCAAGAAAATCTGCAACGGATTGTGGCGCGCTTTGAAGAATTTTTGAATGACAACTCCGCTGGGTTTGAGGGTGCTGATTTTATCGATGATTTTGCATCAGATTCGGATGTCGACGTCGAAGATGATGAAGAGCTCAGCGATGATGAAGAGGACAAGGACGCGTCCTTCAATGAGGAAGAGTTTTCACGAATGATGAAGGAAATGATGGGAATGCCCTCCGCGCCAGACTCGATTCGCAGGCGAGTGGAAGAGCTTGACTCGGACAAGGAGGAAGACGACACAGAACAGATCAATGAGCTATCTCGGCAGATGGAAACCGAGTTGCGAGGCACGGGTGTTCTGAATTTGAACAGACCCCAACAGAAGCTCTCGGAGAGCTCGTCCAAAGGCAAAGCAGCCGAGTCGTCCAACCAGGAAGAAGGGGATGAAGATGAAGACGTCAACATCAATCTTGCCCGGAACTTGTTGGAGGCTCTCCAGGGCGAAGGTGGTGCGGCTGGTCCGGCAGCGAATATGCTGTCGATGATGGGCTTGCCCATTCCCAAAGACGACCGCCCTTCTAAAAAGTGATTGACTTCAGAGCTAGCTGTTACTTTACCTCTACCGCAGTGCTGCGGATCCATCTACAATATCGCTGGATCGCGGTTGCGATTCGAAGGCAGGATGTCTTCACGGATCGGGTTCAGTCACCGGGGAGCTTTGCAGGTCATCCATCCTGCGCCCTTCGCTGCTCTTTGCAGCTGAAAGCAAGGTGCTGAGACTATCCCCAGGATAGCTACCTTTCTCAGATTCCCAGACCGTCCGCTACAGGGTGAGGCCGTCGACCAAAAGGAGCTCGTGGCTGCACACCATTTCCGAGCCCATGGCCACCATACATTCCATATGATTAGTGCACTCAGAATTTGGAGGTTGAGAGATAAGATTCTTGACACTGTTCCGTATCTTGTCTCTATTGATCCCACAACCTATTTGGATTTAGCTTTGTCCATTTGGGGCACAAAATCTACTCTATACGCTTTCGTGCACCTCTAGCGGAGGGAGGGAGTCTGGGGCACGTAGGTCGGGGGTATGTCCCTAATTATTGTTACATACACATCTAGTATAAGGTGGAAAATATAGCCCAATAGATAGCCGTGACGAAACCCTAAATGATCCTTGATCAGCCACTGACCCTCAGTAAGCCGGACTCCGGCCGCTCGCATGAGAGCGGCAGATTAGATCGGGAAGCCCTATCCGCCAGAGGAACTCCGCTAGTAGGTAGTGTTTTCCATGCCATGTACGATATGTACAACCTTGCATTGAAAAATAATAATCACTATTCTGCTACACGGTGAGGCTATACACCATTCTGAGTCCACATATGGCCATGCATTAGTATATCTCCGGGCTGTCTCCCGGGCTGTCTCCGGGCTGTCTCCGGGCTGTCTCCGGACGTCTGCCGTGTTGGTGTCGGCAATACTCTCTGTATCTTCCGCCCTAGCGCTCATGGCGCCGAGGCAGTTGTCGGCAAATCTGTTTCATTCCCTGTACCATAATAATAACCGTCTGTACATCAATCCCAGCAATCATCATCAAGATCATCAATATAGACTTTCTTACTGGCCCACCGTCCTGTCGAGCGCAATTAGAATGGATCTCCACAGCCTAAGAGGCAGGTGGTAGCCTGCCATGAACGACCCGAACCCACCGAGGCTTAGGCCAGGATCCTCAAGCTTCGAGAAAAGTGCTCCGGTGGGCCGGTTTCACGCGTGGCCTTTAGCCGCGTAGCCTGACTCGGCGGTGCTTCCCTTTCGGTGTGCAACGCCGCTGAATAATGTACTCCAGACGGAACTAGTTTACTAGTCAACTACTGTGTAATAATCTTCAGGGCTATGTGTGGGAAAAAAAATAATGCTGACCCTACAGGTGTTTGTAGGTCCACTGGTTGTGCCGAGCGACCGAACCGCGATGCGCGATTTTCGTGGAAAAAATAGAAACTGCAGGACCCAGCGGATGCCGCTACCCATGGAACCCAACCGTTGAGCTGTCGTGTGCCACGAATGATCATACCGGATAGTTACAGCCACTCCCGGATGACCAACAGGCAGGGATCAGGGGTGAATCCTCCAAGGGTGGAATTCAGCCGCCGCTGCCCCGGAAGGAAGATGAGGCAAGGGTTGTTTATGAAATCATCATTCATCCATTTCTCCCACAAACGGGAGCGGAGAGCCGGGAGGGTAGGCGTCTCCCCGGCAAATGACAGCGCCGGGGAGGGATCGCATCGGTGTCGATAGGGCAATGATCAGCCGGAGTCCAAAAAGGGGGCGGGCGCAGGATCGAAAGGACGGGCCCGGCAGGGCGGATGGCGGGCAGAGCAAATCGGAGGCCGAGGATTTGCTTTTGTCTGAAGACGATACATCGAGTGTGAAGGTGGTTGTTTGCAGCTCCAAGTTGCATCTGGACGGGAACGTCTGGGCCGCTCGCGAATTGGTTTGCGTCGGGCCCAACGAACATGAGATACTAAAGTACAGAATGTCCTGTAGGTAGGGAGAGAATGTATCTTGTTATTATTTATTCTCGTATAACAAAAGGAATAATATGTTCTAGAACCGAAGGTACTAGTACACATACATACCTTCGGCCGGACTCCGGGTGGCAAATCAGCGTTCGATGACCATTGCCCGTTCGTCTTATTTAGATCCAAGAGACTCCACTGCTCACTCTCCCTCCCTCGCTCGCTCGCTCTCCTCTCCTTCCTGCCTTCCTCTCTCTCTCTCTTCTCCCCACCACAGGATGTGTCGCAGCATGCCATGGTTGCTGCACTCTAGAGTCTGATCCACCATGGATTTTATTGTAAGCGCCTCTCTTCGCTCCCGTCAAGCCCGTCTCTAACACACCACCCCCAGCTCTCGCTCACGCACTTCTGCGAGGTGCATGGGCCCACCTCCATCATCTGCTCGCAGGTCCTCCCCTTCGCTTGCTCCCAGTGCCACCACGACGCGGATCTCTCTCCCGACACCTCCCCGGCCCCCTCCCACGCCTCCCTTCGCCGCCACGATGAGACCTCCCGTTCCCCGAAGATCGAAGACTACTCGTGTTTCCTGAAAGGCCAGTCGGCCTCGCCCGAAGACAGGGCTAATCGAGCCGGCCGCACCGATGGCGATGCATGCGCCAGTTGCAGCCTATCTCTTCCCGAGGGCGTGAGCAAGCAGTTGCCGCCGGGCGCTCCCGGCACCAAGAACAACACCGGCAGCCCCGTGCTGCGGTCGCGCGAAGTCGTCTACTCCTGCGGCAACAGCCACTCGGACATGGGCGACGACGTGCCTGATGCTCACACCCACTCCTCGCCCCCGGATTCGCTTCGTTCTTCCTCGGTTGCATCTGATTCCTCCTGCCATACGCACCTCCTCACCTACCTTTCTCTCCGCGGTCCTCCGAATCCCGCAGACTATGCGCTCCTGCGACGCTCCTCGATTCGCACTCTGAGCTGTGAGCTCCTACCCCGGGGTCTGTCCTCGGGCCCTCTGTGCTTTGGGGACTCCGTTGCCGGTTACACAATCGCCTACATTTTCCGCCTGCCAGACCCGATGGCGCGCGGCAAGCGACGCAGCTATGCCTTGGTTGCGCTCGCTGGCAAGGATGCCGGAAGAGCATTCCGGGCTTGCCCCGTGATCTGGCGCGTCTTTGGCCGTATTGCGTCCGGTATTGTCGGGGCCGCGGAGCGCTTCCAGGAAGAAGAGAAGCGTCGCGAAGAGCAAAACAGCCCCGGCAACAACCCGGTTGCACGGCAGTACACCCCGGTTTCCTCCTTTCTGACGGGTCGGGCCATGGACATGGCTGGCCAACCGCGGCGACTCGGCCAGATCCGTGCACGCAACTTGGCCGAGATCGTCGGCAACGAATACATCTTCGCGGAGATCCACGCGCATTTCGTCGCCCTCTTGCAACAGCTGGGCACAATGTTCGGTGGCGTCCCCATTTCCGAGGAACGCTTTGTCTGCAGCACCGTGGCCGATGAAGAGAATACTACCACCAACACCCAAGAGCCATCGGTGGTTCTGGACCCGGCCCAGTCGAAGCAATCGACCTCGGGATACAACCACGAGGACCTCGACCTTTCGAAACTCGACATCACCTCCGGCCCTCAGCCGATTCCCATTGCGCCGCGTCGTCCTGTCGTGGCCTAAACTTCGCCTTCCTCGCCTTCTTCTTCCTCTTCCAGATACCCCCTCCTGCCTTTTCTTTTTTTTGGTTTTTGTTCCTTGTGGCTTTTCCATCGCGTGTGGCATAGCGTGAATCTTCCGCATCATCACAGTCCAGGTTTTTTTTGGGTTTCGTGGCATAGACTATGGCGTCCTTTCTCAGACTCGGCATCGGAGTTCAAATTTGGGTTCGGCAAATGTTCTTTCGGGTGGGATGGGATTGGATGGACAAGCATTCAGGGACCTGTATTTCTATCTATGTATTATTTGGACACGTCACGCAGTATTGATCCTACAATTAATTGTTAATTCTACTAGTCTATCCATGAATCTGATCTATATTGTACTATCGCACGGAGAATTCTGCCGCTTTCGGTTAATCCGCCCCCGGGCCACAATGGAAAAATCCCACCAAAACCAAAGATACGAACGAAGAAGACCACCACCACACCAACCTCCCCTTCACCCTCGTCCACCCATCACACAGTCACAATGGGTGTCGCCTCCGACAAGTGTGAGACCCGCCCGGCTCACATCGATGCCATCCTCAGCGGCCTTGACCGCTACAATCCCGAGACCACCACCGTGTTCCAGGACTACATCGCGCAGCAGTGCGAGGACCGGACATTCGACTGCTACGCCAACCTGGCCCTGTTGAAGCTGTATGTCCTTCTCCCCCTTTTTTTTTTTTGGCATTTGGCCTTCATTTTCAATGATGAATGTTCTTTTTCTTTACACGTTTCCTATTACCTGATATCCCAATCTATTACATGGGGATGTTGAGAAAACACACGAACAACCTCCTGAAATCCACCCTCGCCCAAATACTGCTCATCTACCGTGAAAAAGAATCAAATGGCTGACATTCCACTCTCCTCGCAAAACAAAAGCTACCAATTCAACCCCCACCTCCTCCAACCCGACACCGTGACCAACATCCTCTCCAAAGCCCTAACCGTGTTCCCCTCCCCGGCCTTCTCGCTCTGCCTCGCCCTCCTCCCACCAAGCACGCAGCCCTTCCCCTCAACTGCCGAAGCTCAAGCCGCCTCGCAGACCTCCGACTTCGTGGAATCCGTCCAGAAGCTCGCCCGCCTGTCCACCCTCCTCGAGTCCGCCCAGTACGCCCAGTTCTGGGCCACCCTCAACTCGGATGACCTGTACGCGGACCTGACGGCCGACGTGGCCGGTTTCGAGGAGCTGGTCCGCATTCGCATTGCCGTCGAGGTTGGCAAGACCTTCCGTGAGATTAGTGTCGATATCCTCCAGCAGTGGCTTGATGTTCGCTCCCCAGAGGCGCTGCAGAAGCTTGTGGCGGATGTTTGTGGGTGGAAGGTTGATGGCGCCGTTGTCCGTGTGCCGACTAATAAGGAGAATGAGGCTCGCAGTGAGGTTAAGAGCGAGCGCGTCGGGGTGGAGATGTTTGGACGCGTTATCCGGAGGGGATTTGAGCAGCCGGCTTGATTTGCTGGCTCTATGATATGAGTTTGATGAACCCACGAACGATGATGGATGAATGTCTCAAACATCGAAGAAGAGGCTCGCGGTGATTGAGCCGGGTTCTGGCGCATCGGGCGTTTTCTCTCTTTTGTCTGCATGCCCTGTTATACAGCAGGTGCTGCTTCTTCTATGTTCTCTTGCAGCTAGACATTTTAAAAAAGGAACCGAAGCCGTGTTCGTACTTTATTTTCCATCCAAATAACCCAAATCAAGTCTCTTCTTAACAGTCATGGTATAAATCTACTTCATCTCCTCCCACTGCACACCCGCCCACTCCTCCCTCCACCCAGTCTGCCCTAGAGTCGACGGCGCACAGTCCTGAGCACACACGCCTAGGATAATGGCTCCCCACTCCATGCCAGCATCCTCCTTCCCCAGTCCAACGTTCTCCCGACCCTCCTCCAGCATACTGATAGCATGCGGCACGAGCTGCAGCTCAAACACCCGCTCGCTACCACAGTACTCGCAGCGTGGCATATTCGCACCACCACCGACCGTTGAGATGCGCGCATTGCCAGTGCCATCGGAGTGAACATGCAGAGAACGACCCACGGCATCGGTATGCGAGTACAGAAGCGGCGAGCCGCGGAACTCATACCTCAGCACCTGCTCCGGGTTATGCGCAAGACGGGTAGAAAATTTCATGAATGCCTTGTCGAGCTCGGACTCGAAGGTGTCTTTGAGTTCGGCGCCGCCGCTGCCTTCTTCGTCCATGGGTTCCATGGTCACGTTCTCGGGGATGGCGGGTGTGGATGGCCGCGAGAGGGTTTCGTATTCGGCGTCCAGGTAATAGTGTGTGTATGGTGCTGGGAAGTCGGACTGGGCTGGCCAGGGAGCAGCGGGTCCGGTGGACTCGGGCGTTGGTTTTGCGTTGTGCTGTGGTGCCGGTGGTGGAGGGGATGAGACGCGCACTTTGTCGGCGAATGTCTCGGCCAGTTCATTTGCGGCGTTTGTTTTGGTCTTCTCCGTTGCGGGGCCGGGGGCGGGTGTGGGCGTCGCAAATGGATTAGCCGGAGAGTCACCGGTGCCCGATGAGAAAGGGTTCGGATTGGAGGAGACAGTATTTGTCAAAGAAGTCGCGCCAAAAAGGCTTGCTCCAAGATCTGGCTTCGGCCGTGCTTCAGCTTCTGGGGCTGGTGCTGGTGATTCTTTCTCCTCCACGGGTTTCTGCTGCGCCCGTTCCAAAGCCACCTTCCGCGTCGCACGAAACGCCCGAATGCTGCCAGGCTTCCGATTGCATGGTTTGCGCGGACATCCAAATATGTACAAGCGGCGTTCGTCATTCGGGAAATGGTCGGGCAAATCGCCGTGCAGCTCGAGGAGGAGCAGCATGGGCTGGTTGCACACTTTGCAGTTGGCAAAGTCGCCGGGTGGCGGGGCTGTGTTGTCGAGCCATGTCTGATTCCAGTCAATATATGTCTTGGTTGACGGGCAATATGTTGGGATAACATACCGGATGACCGCCCAAATGGCTGATTGTGTCCTCAATCACCTCCTCCGCGGCGTACCCGAGCAGCACACCGGTCTCGGTGAAGTCACCGTCCTCCTCAATGCTGGAGTCGCTGTCGTAGGGATCCATGGTGAGTTGTTTGAAGCAGAAGAAAAAATTGGCGGTGATGAATCCGTTATCGCTTATCGGACGACACTATTCTCGATCAGGGATAGCGCGAACTGCCAATGGCATCACATCACTGGTCTTCCGCCCTTGACTGGACGTGCTTGAACTGCAACCAAGTAGTTACACAGCATGTCTCAATACAAGCACTTCGGTGTGCTATATCTATGGGCTGTAGTTGCAGCTTTTTTGACTCTCAGCAATGCTACTGAGCAGCCACCAGCAAAACGGGTCGCAGTAATCGGTATGAACCTCACCCATCTATTACCGCCTGTAGACCAACCACTAATGCAACACCCTAGGCGCTGGCGCCGGCGGCTCATTCACAGCTTACGAGCTGCGCAAACAAGCAGATGCCGCTGGCATCCCGGTGAACATAACAGTCTTCGAGCGGAATGCCTACATCGGCGGACGCTCGACAACAGTCAATGCGTTCAACGATCCAGCCCACCCCATCGAACTAGGCGCCTCGATATTTGTCCAAGTAAACGCTAACCTAGTCAACGCCTCTCGCGACCTAGGTCTGAACATGCGTAGTGCAGATTACGCACGGCCGCGGGAATCCTCTGACAGTATCGGGATTTGGGACGGCGAGTCGTTTGTCTTTGCGCTGAAAGACGGGTCGAATTGGTGGAATCTCGCGAAGCTGGTCTGGCGGTATGGGCTTGCGCCGCTGAAGACACAGAGTCTGGTCAAGAAGGTCGTGGGCCGGTTTCTGCATCTGTATGAGGAGCCGCTGTTTCCGTTCGAGTCGCTTTCGGAGGTTGCGGAGATGGTGGGATTGCTGGATGTTACGTCTGTGACGGGAGAGCACTTTCTCGGAGCGAATGGTATTTCGGAATTGTTTGCGCGGGAGATCATTCAGGCCAGTACGCGCGTCAACTATGGGCAGAACTTGGTCTTGATCCATGGGCTGGAGTCGATGGTTTGCATGGCCACCGATGGAGCTATTGCTGTTGAGGGCGGGAACTGGCGGATCTTTGATGGCGCGCTGAAGGCTGCCGGGGCTGCGGTGAGGGTCAACACGAGTGTGACTGCTATTCAGCGGGATGACGAGAAGGGCATTGTGCAGATCACTTCCTCGTCAAATAGTCGGAAGTCGCACACGGAGGACTTCGACGAAGTGGTCATCGCTGCCCCGTTCCAATATTCTGGCATTTCTGTCTCGCCCTCTCTTCCGCGTCCTCCGGACGAGATCCCGTTCGTGAATTTATATGTGACGCTCTTCGCTTCTCCGCACCGGATATCGCCCCAGTTCTTCGGACTGGATGGTCCCGACGCTCAAGTCCCAGAAACTATTCTAACGACCCTGCCCAATGGCAAAAGCACCTCCGGGTTTGGCTCTGAAGGCGCAGGACCAGCCGGGTTCTGGAGTATCAGCACTCTGCGCACAGTGACTCGATCTACCCGCCTCGAGAACGGAAGCGACGTACAGCAAGATCATTACGTGTATAAGATCTTCTCACCGGAACGACCAACGGCCCAATTCATAGCTCAGATACTAGGGCTGGAGCAGACTGACTTACAGAAAACAATTGCCGATCTTCCCAGGACGGATATCAGCTGGTTCCATGAGAAATTCTGGAACCCCTATCCGCTGCTGTATCCCCGAGTGACTTTCGAAGAGACTCGCTTGGCTCCGCGCGTGTGGTATACCGGTGGGATTGAGAGCTTCATCTCGACTATGGAGACTAGCGCCTTGATGGGGAGGAATGTGGCGACGCTGATGCTTCAATTGTGGCAAGTGAAGCAGAGCAAGACAAATGCTGCTAGCGCCGAGCAGGCCTGGCAGAAGCCTGAGCTTTGAAGATGTTGTGCACGCATACCCCTGACAGGATGGACACAGATATATACTGAAATGAATTCAATTGTTTATATGCACATAAATCATGAACAGCCCCCCATTTTTTGTTCTATATTATAACCCCCAAAAATCAAGAAACCCAAAATCTACTCCATCTCAATCGTGCCTGGCGGCTTGCTAGTGAAGTCATACGCAACGCGGCAAACACCCTCCACCTCGTTAACGATGCGGGTCGACACCTTGGTCAGGAACTCATAGCTGAAGGGGTAAGGCATAGCAGTCATGAAATCCTTGGTCGAGATGGCGCGGAGGAGGATGATGTTGGCGTAGACGCGCTTGTCGCCCATGACACCGACGGCGCGCGAGGGGTCCAGCGCGGCGTAAGCCTGGCCAATGTCGTCGTACAGGCCGGCTTCGCGGATCATCGAGATGAAAATGTGGTCGGCTTTGCGGGCCATGTCGACCTTTTCTTTGGTGACTTCGCCGAGGACACGGATGGCGAGGCCGGGGCCGGGGAAGGGGTGTCGGCCAACTAGCTCGGCGGAGATGCCGAGCTGGCGACCCAGCTCACGCACCTCATCCTTGAATAGCTCGCGAAGGGGCTCGATCAGCTTCAGACCATGGCCAGCCATCAGGCGCTCGGCGATGCCGCCCACGTTGTGGTGGGTCTTGATCGTCTGCGACGGGCCCTTGAACGAGATGCTCTCAATAACATCTGAAATCATTTGTGAGTCATGCCCTTCGTCAAATCAGATACTGAACTGACCTGGGTACAGCGTCCCCTGCAAGAACCACTCGACCTTGCCAGCATTCTGTGCCTCGACCTTCTTGGCCTCATCCTCAAAGACATCAATGAACTTGCCGCCAATGAACTTGCGCTTCTTCTCTGGGTCGTTAACGCCCTTCAGGCCAGCCAGAAACTCCTCTCCGGCATCAACAACAGTAAGGTTAATGCCAAGCTGCTCCTGCAGAACCTCCTTGACTTTCTCGCACTCGTTCAGACGCATGCAGCCGTTGTCGACGAGGACGGCGTGGAAGCGATCACCAATGGCCTCGGTCATCAGCTTGGCGGCCACGGTAGAGTCGACACCACCGCTGACAGCGCCGAGGACCTGGCCCTCGGGGCCGACGAGGTTGCGGATCCGCGTGATCTCTTGACCGATGAACTCGGCCATCGACCAGCTCTGCTTGGCACCGCAGATCCCAACAGCGAAGTTCTTGAGAAGACGGCCACCATCCGGGGTGTCTAGAATAGTGTCAGTAGAAGACTCCTCTATTCGATCATCGGAGAACTCACGAGTAACCTCCGGGTGGAACTGGATGCCATACACAGGCTCCGTCTTGTGCGCAATGGCAGCATACTCCGAGTTCTGAGTGGTACCAATGGTATGGAATCCCTCAGGCAGATTGGACAGCTTATCACCATGCGACATCCACACGGTCATCGCATCCTCCAGACCCTCGAACAATTTATCCACATGTCCACCGAAGCGGGTAGCCTTCAGATCGGCATGGCCGTACTCCCGAGCGGTGCCGGCAACGACATTGTCCGCATGCAGACGGTGGGCAATCTCCTGGAGACCGTAGCAGATGCCCAGAATGGGGACACCGAGATCGAAAAAGGCGGGATCGATGTGCGGGGCGTCTTTCTCGTACACCGAGTAGGGACTACCGGAGAGAATGATTCCCTTGGGGTTCCAGCCCAGATCGGACAGCTTCTGCGTGCACGGAAGCATCTCGGAGTAGACGTTGATCTCGCGCAGCCGGCGGGTAATCAGGTGGGTGCTATACACAGATTTCGAGTCAGATCCGATCAAAGAGTCATCGCTGGTTGGACATACTATTGCGACCCATTGTCCAGCACCAGGATGGTGTCGAAGGCATTGTGGGGGATAACCTCAGTGATGGAAGCCATGGTGACTTGCTCTGCTCGAGGACAATGGCCCAGCACTTCTCAGATGAGCCAGGAAAGAAGTTGGGTTTCTTATCGCAAGAAGAAAAAAATGTACGGACGGGCACGTGACTCGGCGGGGCCCTTGCTTATCGCGGATCTATAAAGCAGATCTGGAATTATAGATGAAAGGTGCCATCAGGTAAGGGTACACTCGAATACAACGGGTCATGGTGATCACTGCCAATCCGTCTCGCTCTCACTCCCCGGATATGCCTTCTTCCTCAACTTCCACAGCGATTTCTCGCGCCGCGCGGTAACTTCGCGCTGCCGGCGACTATTGTCCTCCACCACAGTCATCCAAGGCACGTTGCTAGCGCGCCGAATTCTCCCCCTCAGGAGCGCCAGGGTCTGGCTGTGCTTCTTTTGTTGGTCCGATGTTTCCGCCCGTCCATTCTCATTGATTGGCCGGGACACGGATTGTTGGTAGCGCCTCTCTGCGGCTCGGGCGGCGTGGTATTCTTCGCTGATGGCCCAGTTAGGGTTATCCAGCTGTCCGCGGACAAGCACGATGTTCTGGCCTTGTCCCATTGACTCGCGTAAATGCGAAGGTGGGATAGGGGTGGAGAGTTCGATCTTGTGCGAATCGATGTCTATCGACCGGATCAGGGCAAGGCCGAGGCAGTGGCTTGTTTTGGGGTCTAGTGGTGTGCAGCTCCCCGATCCGGTGAGTAGGTGTGGAAGATCTTCCCGCGGTGTTCGCACAATGCTGTCGGCTAGAGATGCGTTCCCATCGCTTTGTTCCAGGTCCATTTCTTCGCTTGCCACGGCGTGAGGTGACTCTACTGCCACCACGCCCACAATAGATCCTTCGAGGACTTCTCGCAACAGATCGGAATGGATCCGAGATCCCAACACCATAATACCCAATATACCTTGCCGGTCTCCAGCGTAGTCCACGACAATTGGTCTCGTTCGGGAGATAGGTGCACCCGACCACACTGGGTTGCTAAGACCAGTCGGACAGGACATGTGGAAATAGGACTGGATCTGCATTGACCGTAACTGAGCGCTGGATCGGCTGACAAAGTCGGTTGGCTGGGATGGCAAGATCGTCATGGGCACTCGGGCTTCACGGGCAGCCAGGCCGAGAGGATCCACGACCTCTGCTGGGCCTTTCTCGCTCATATAGACCACATCAGACAGACCTAAACTCCGGACCAGCCAGGTTGCCACCTCCAATCCCTGTCCGAAGATCCACCCGGGGTAGTTGATGATCAATGGACATTGGGGATATCTCGCCAGTAGTGAGCGATAATGGTCCATGAGATCCATCGCAGCCAGAGCATAGTGATCAGGATCTTCCTTGGGGGATGTTGCACCAATAAGATGCGCGCGCACCATTTGACCATTCTCGGAGTCATCTAGGGATGGATGTGTGAATGGTGGCCCAAAGAATGGAGAGCGCAGGTGCGCGAGATAGACCTGGCCCATGGGAGCGAACTCTGGCTGTCCCGGGTCAAGGTCCAGAAAAGCGACGCCGTCGGTATTTGTGTACCAGTTTTCGGTCTCGGGAGCTGGGCTGAGAAGATGATTCAACAAATAGCGGCTGAATGTCGATTTTCCTGAGGCTTTGGGGCCACATATTAGAACCCGGAGACTCCCCTGGCGTTGGGAAAGAGCTTTCATCGAGGTACTCCATTTCTTTTCGAGATGAAGGGGCCGTAGATGTCTTTTCATTGAATCATCCGCTGATGTGTATAGCTTCCTAGCAGTCAGTCTCGGCACCCAAAGCAATAGTGACAAAAGCACATACCACTGAAAAAGTTCGACGCGAGTCTTTGGCCGCCTCTTTGAGGGAAAGCTTGTCAGCGACTGTATTGTTGCCATTCCAGACCTTCTGGTACAGAGGAGAGAGATCCCGAAGGCGAGCAATGCCGCTATGGCAAGACTTGATTTCAACCTCTGCCTGTCCATCGACACCCGAAACGCATTTGATCACCGGCAGAGAATGAGTTGAGGGAGCATAAACCCTATATAAACGCGACGAAGGGTGTAGTTTGGCGCCCATCAAGCTGACAACACCCCGTTTGACCCAGAGGTCATACTGTCCCAGCAAGGCAAGATTCATCCTCTCCTGAATGCGGACACAAAGCGTGCTTTCGTCGCTGTAGACTATGTTGCCCTTGTTCAAACGGCCCTTGGATAATGGAAAGTTCTGAAGCTCTGCGGGGGTATCTGCTGGCGACTCATAGCCATCGGGGTCACCAGCAGTAGACGGGACATCCCCCTCATCAATTGCAGTTGTGTCGTCCTCCTCCGGCTCTTCATGCTCGAGATTTTCGTCGACAATGCGCGCAGGAGGCTGTACTGCTGGCTTCTGAGACCGCGTGGCTCTTGACGGTCCGTCCGAGATCTTCCCTGGCGCTTCGGGTTTCTTTGCTGACCTTGTCCGTGTAGGTCGATCTGCTGCAGTTGTCTCTTCCGCTTCAAGAGAGCGGCGCGGCTTTTTCAACGGCGGCTCCCCGCCGACCTGGGGATCTGGTGTCTTCTCCGACGCTGTCACATTCTGCGCCTGTTGTTGCCGAGCTCTGCGCGCCGCGATGGCGCTGAGGGGGGCTGCCAAAAGCACTGGTGTGAGCTGCAGCTGCAGGATGGAATATTAAAAAGAAACGTACCAGCTTGTTGCTTCTCAGCCTTGCGTTTCATGGCGACATGGCAAGTGCAAGTGCAACTAAGTGCAAAGATAAACGATAAGCAGAAAAAAAAGCGGAGTGGCCCGTGCGCCCGAAAAAAAGGCGGACCGAGTTCACTTCCAAGTTCACCACTTCTGTATTCCCTGCCGTGTCCCGGAAACAAGACTTGACTGGCGACAATTGACTTATATCATGTCCGCCTCATCCTCGTCCGAGAGCGACAGCAGCTCCAGCCGCTCCAGCTCACCGGAGCCAGCCAACCAGCAGAAGCAAGCCGTGAAGGCCACCAAGACGGAGCCCGCAAACGAAGATGAATCCAGTTCGTCGGAATCAGATAGCTCCAGCGACGCGGAGTCAGACAATGGCGCAGCCGTAACCAAATCAAGCGCACAGCCAGAGTTTGAGCCAGCCAACAGGTAAGGATCATCTGTTCTTGATCTCCGCAGCAATCACTAATTCCTGTCTCTCTCTCCCACAGAGTTACAATCTCCGCAGCCCAGCCGTACAAACCACCAACAGGCTTCAGAGCGGCAAAGAAACTGCCACCTCCATCCTCGAAAACCTCATCCCTCCTCTCCAACCTAAACGGCAAACAAGTCTTCCACATCACAGCCCCGTCATCGCTGCCGCTATCAAAAATAAAAGAAGTCTCCATGGCTACGATCATGCAGGGCAAGCCCCTCCTCACCCACGAGGGTGTAAACTACGGGATCCCCGCTGAGACCCTGCTTTCCGAGCCCAACGACCCCGAAGGGAAAGCGCTACTCATCTACGACCAAAGTACACAGTCTTACCGCAGTGCTGCGACAAATTTGCCGACGTATCACATCCAGGAACTGGTCGGGCCTCTGGGAACGGACAAGGCGACTGACAAGGCAATTGAGGCGTTGCGCGATGAGAAGAAGCCGCACAGGCGGCAGCCGAAAGGGTTGAAAATGCGGTTTCGGCCTGTTGGCAGTCTGAGTGGGCCGCCGGAGACGATTGGAGAGAGCTCAGAGTCCGAGGTGGAGGAGGAACCGACATTCAAGGTGCCGCTGGGTGGAGAGCGCGAGGAGCAGCGGAAGAGGAAACATGCTCAGGAGGGGGATGCGGCGCCGCGGAAGAAGTCGAAGAAGCATGAGAAGGATGGCGAAGGGGGAGAAAAGACGTCGAAGAAGTCACATAAGGATAAAGAGGAGAAGAAGCGGAAAAAGGCCGGAAAAGCATGACGAATTGGCGTTTTTGGGTTTTCTGGGTGGTTTCTGTTGTCTTATACGGCTTTCAGGTCAAATGCAATGTATATCTTCTCATGGAAAAGTACTTGGATTCATCATTCCTAGCTCGACCGCGCTTGCTGAGATGTAGAAAGACAGACACAAACAACGTGAGCAAGGGCGTATAAGCTACCAAACCATTACAACCCCATCATCAGGAAAGAACGTTGGAAGCAGACATCCCCCCCCGACCGCATAGCCCCTTCACCTCTCTTTTATCAAAGCTAAGACTTATGCTTGATATTGGCATGGAAGTTCTCATGCACGCTGACGAGCTGCACCCGCTTGCCGTCAGCACCAAGTATACCACCCTTCTCGCCATCATCGGATGAGCTGCGTTCAGCAACCTCCCACTCCGTACCAGCGGCAACCTCGAGGTTCTTGCCGCGGGTCTCCTTGACGAAGAACCAGCAGAAGACCGTGGCTACGAGATCGAAGCCCATGAAGATCAGGAAGGTGTTGGCGCCGACGTTTTTGATCATGTAGGGGCTTGCGAATCCGAAGCAGAATGATGAGGCCCAGTGAGCGAGCATGCTGAGTGCCAGGCCCAGCGCGCGGATCCGGGTCGGGAAAATCTCGGGCACGTAGGCCCAGGGCATTGGACCCCAGGAGCAGTTGTAGATCTGTAGCATAGATATGTTAGGAAGTTGGGTGATACATGGGAAGCAGAAACGACTTACCATAATGTCAAGGTACATCATCGCCACAGTCGCCCGGCCGGCGTTGGTGACTTGGCCATTCACATTAGTTGCGGTATTGTCGACAATCAGCGCCGTGATCAGCATGCAGGCAGACATGAGAGCAGCACCACTGACGAGCGTGACCCGGCGACCGAAGCGCTCCGCCAGGACCCAGATAAAGAAGGAGCTGGCAATGACCTTGACGGCACCAAACAGACCGGTCAGCAGCAGGCTCTGCTTGCTCGAGCCGCCGGCCACCAGCTTGAAGTATTGCGGGGCAAACACCGCCAGAGCGCTGCTTCCCGTGGCGTTCTGGAAGATGAACAGCAGGGGTCCAACCGTGAAACGCAGGCGGTTGGCCGGCTCCAGCAATTCCTTGAAAGAGAAGCCTTCGC